GGAGGTAGAGGAACTTCTTACTGTGGAAATGTCCTTTAAAGGCAACTCTAAATTTTCTGTGCTTTTAAAGTTTCAAACAGAAGGTGTGTTGTTATATATTACTTACGATTAGTAAATAAATGTGTTAACACTTCACCTACAGATAAGACTCAAATTTCCGTTGAGCTTAAAAATTTCATACTGAAGGGTAAATTAAGAGCACAAGCCAAGTTGGACGCTCTCAAAGCTCCAAGATGTTTATACCTTTATATACAACTCTTTGAACCTCCAACGTACGATGGTAAACACTTTTATATTCAGTGTTGACGTTACACATGCTATCCTCTTCCTTGTCTAATAACACGTTTGCTAATAGTGTCCTTGACTACATTTAATGATGAAAAGAACTATAACCATATGCTTCCAGCAATTAAGAAAGTGGTAAGTGAAATAGTTCACAATTCACTCCTTGCTCCCAACTTCCTGCGCTTGAACTTTTTAGGAAAAAGTATTAAAAGTTTTCATACATTCCAGTTGAACTAAATAATTTTTTAATATAAGAACGTGAACAATGCCAGACCTCTAAGCCAGAGGGGGGAAACGTTATTGAAGATTTTTATTTAAGCAATAGGATTGAAGGTAGTTTTGCTTCCGACTTTTTTAAATAGTTTATTAGATTAAATTATGGAAAAATATGATATTTAAATATATATTCTTCTTGATTATACAGCTTACACTATTAATAAAGATAAAGATATTCAATCAAGTGAAAAGTCAAATCCAATTAGAAGAGCTTCGCAAGTCCCCCCGTATAGGCCAACCGTGATTTCCGAAACTACAGTGAAAAAAAAAGCAGAGCATCCAACTGACAACAGCAACGATAACAACACGCAATTTTCAGCTTATAAACCTACAAAACCTTCTGATAACCCATCAAATAGTACAGAAGTTCAAGAAAAAAATAGCCGAAGGCATTCAAAGGAGGAAGAAAAGACGGAGAAAAAGGGTTTTAAAACTTTTTTTAAGAAGTCTGGTTCTTTAAAAATATTTAAAAAGTAGATATATATCTGCTTTTTATACCTTTATTTAACCGTTTACTCTAAAGCAACTGTAGTAAAATAAGAAAATGATTACTTAACAAAATATTATCATATTGTGAGAAGAAACCCTGCATATTATTAAATTGGGCGTTCGCACTCCTTACTATTTAACACTAAAACAGTCAAGGTGTTATTTCCACAGGTTACATCTTCATTTTACTACTAAAAAGGAAACAATAAAAATTTTTTGCTGAACTTAATAAGTCTATAGAGATTAATAGCGGGAAAATGGTTATTACATTACTGACTTATTTTAATACTATGACTATTTATTACCCTTAAAAACCATAAGAATAGTTATTACTGTGTAAAGATTATTTTATGTAGATAGTTACTTTTAATATACTTTAACGTATTAGGCGTAAGCGCTAAGCGATCTGTGACATATATGTATTTGCTTGCATATCCCTGATTCAGAAGTTTAGATTTTTCGCCTTAAAAGTGATCGGGAAGTTATATATTGTCGCCAGGGGAAGGCGAAAAAAATTTAGTATATCTTGAAAAAAAAATGTTACCTTCCTTTTGTAAATACTCCAAATGTATTTAGTGTGTATAAAAAAAACTATTACTGAAATTTAAAAACCATTATTTCTGATTTACTTGATACCCGTGCTTCTGGCTCCAGAACCAGACCCTTTTTCCTTAAAGGGCATCATTTAAGTAGAAAAGCTCCTACTTTAAAGACTCAAGGCTGAAGATAATTAATTCGGTTTTTCTATAGTTCACAGTGTGTGTTTTTTTTGTGGCGGACAGAGAAAACTATTTTTTAGTTATATTTGACTAAATGTTCTTGGCAGTTTCATTAGCCATCCTTGTGCTGTTTATTGGGCGGTCTACGAAGTTAGTTATATTAGGAGACGTGGGAGTAGACCCTTCCACAGATGTTCAAAACTGTTTAGTAGTTCTAACTCGCTACACTCATTAGGTAAATAGTGAGTTGATTAGAACACTCATATAAAAAGACATTAGCATTTTAAAAAAATATATGTCAATGATATAAACTTGTATAGTCGAATTAAAATGTTTTTCTATTTTAGTTTGACCAGTAAAAAAAAAATAATTGACTTTATTTCTAACACAAACACAGTATAGTAAAACACCTAAAACTCAATTTAAAACACAGAATACAAAAAACACTAAAAGAAAAAAATAAAAAAAAACTTAGAAAAAAAAATAAGTAGCTTAATACTTTAAATATAACTCAAACTAACCATAAAACACAAGTTTTCAAAGCACAAATACAGAAAACACCACACAAACCCCTTGAATCTTAAAGGAAATATGATATGGGTAAGCTAATCAAATACCTAGAAAAAAAAACAGCTAATAAAAAGACAGGTTTAGAGAGATTAATTTTTCTAACCACCATATTAATTGGATACAAACTAAACAACCTAAAATAAATCTAACCTATGACAATTACTTTTATGTTACAAATATGGAAGCAATGTTTGGCCTCATGCAAAGATATAAATACAGACCGAAACCCGGTCAAGAAAGTATTCTTTGCTTTGATATTTTTATATCTTGCGCTATATATATTTTATTTTAAACATTAGATTATTTTTCTAATTATACACATTATAATATGTATATTATATTTAATAACTTTTCAAATATACATTTAAAGAAAATATTTCGATAAATTCCTTTCTGCTATTTAAGTGCGCCCTTTTTAAAAACTTAAAAAGACAAAAATAAATTTTGCTGACGCATTAATATATGTTAGTTTAAATAAACTTGTATCAACGCCTTTACAACAAGCTTTATCAGTTATGCATGTCTGCTTCGTTTATGGTTTAATTAAGGTGCTCCACTAAGTGAAACCTCATTGGGGCAAATTCCATAAAGTTGTAATTCTAATTCCTAACCGTATATAGTGAATATAAATCCTAAGAGAAGCCTTTAACGACAATATAAGAAATTTTTTTTTAAAAACCGTTCCTTATAAAGTACCAAAAAGTGACCCAACTTTTTTAAAAAATTTGCACGGAATGCGACACTAATTATAACTATACCTTTACGTTAATAATAATTACCCTAGGAGCTAATAGACTTAGTCCTTATAGTCAAAAAAATTTTAGTGAAATTAAGCCATCATACTAGAATATGAATACTTATCAGATTTATAATTAATTTTAAAAAAATCTTATCAAACCCATTTATAAAGAATTATGTTCTAACATGAATAACCTGTTTAGATAATTTATTCGACGATAATATAATTTTTTTTTTTTTGCATGTGTAATTAGCTGCTGCCTTAAAAAGCTTCAAACGTCGACTGTTTAATCCCCACGTAATACTAATTTCGGGATCACTGGTCTAAAACTTTTCTGTAGGCTTGATCATTTTATTTATAATATATAAATACTTGTTTGGTTTTTGCAAGGCGACAAAAAATTATTATCTTTTAATTTAAAAAAATATAATATCCAGTAAAGTTAAAACCGATTAAATAATTCATAATTAATTTAATATTTAAGCTTTTTTTGCGAAGTGTTTTTCTAATTTTCTTATTAATTGTTAATCACAATAGGGCTGCACTAATATTCAAACGTCTATAATAGTTTTTTATGAATATTTTTTCTAGTAGGAATCTGAATTGAAATAATTTTCAGAGAGTTATAAAAATCATGGCAGTTATGCTCACACGCCGATAACACACCAATAATATATATGTGTCATTAGGAGTTGAAGGATAGCTTACCAACGCAAAAATAAAAATTGACTTTAAGTAGGACAAACTTACATGCAAAAGTCACGAGGATTTCTAAGAACCTTCCATAGCCACGTTCAGTCAGAAATTATCTAATAGCTTTCGTATGGAGTCAACTTGGGCTTTAGCTAGTTTTATAAGTAGGAAAGTATACTACTTCAAGTTACAACTGACAGTATAGGGCGGGCAGTAATACAAGTAAGCCAACAGAATCATCGACAAGTCTCCATCGCTTTTTTCATATAAAAAATTATGACTTCTTGTTAATAAACATATAGCGCACTTTTTGCACTTATCAGGGGAACGAATACCAGTTTTAAAATAACCTTTTTAAGGGCTTTTCGCACTAACATTCTCCAATCGATCTTCAAAAGGTTTCTAATCCGCTTAACTTGAATCCCTTTCCTCAAAAGCACAACTGTCCCTCCAGCGTACGCTTCAAAGGGCTGCAGAAAAGCGAAAAATATTAGGCCCTAGGGTACCCAGAGATTTGACTTCTCAGATCGGACGGGTTTGAAGCAATCCACAGGAGCCGCCGCATATATAATATACTAGGAAACAACACCGATTAAGAATTTATAATTTAATAGAGTTTTATTAGAGCCGAGGTAGTAAATGAGAAAAAAAGAGTACTTTTTATCTGACCAGTTATTTAGTCAGCTAGAGAGCACTACTAAAAACACTGACACCTAGTTGATATAGGTTAAAACATAACGTTTAAACTGGTAGTTATTAGAATTTCGCTCTCGAGATATAATAACTGTTTCCGGACTATTCTACTCGAACACTATAATTAAAAAATATTCACAAAAAAAGTAATATTATAAAGCTATTACGGTCAAAACAAATATTTAAGTATTGAAAAGTTGGTTAGTAAATAATTATTACTTTTTTATCGTGTATAACTAGAACATATTTTTCGTATGCTTAAAAATGCGAGTATCCCAAAACAGTTATAGAGTCCGACTTTTGCTGTTGTAAGTATACCACAATAAAATAATGAAGTTCACGCATTCAACTTCATATTATTACTACAGAAATGCGGAAACTTTCTCTTTTTTATTTAACTTGTGAGGCAATTAATGTGTGTGTATCTGGTTCCCCCTATAAGCGTCCCGAGTACATACAATGACCTAATCGTAATGCCTATCCTTAATCGCGAGTTCAAGCGTAAAGCAAGCTTTTTGCTTTATATATTGTATAAAACTTCTTTTACCGATAAAGTTGCGTTTAGTTATAGGTTCTACCGCACGCTAATTTATGATAAAACGTAAAGACGGATTGTACTTAAATTATAATGGGATCCACTCAATTATTAACTGCTCTTGTCGGCCTAGAAGTTCACGCCCAGATTTTTTCGAAAGTGCTGCTATGATTAATAACTCTTTAATATTAAAAAACTCTTTTTAGTAAATTTTATTAATAGTTTAAGGTTTTTTCTAAAGTAAAAGCTTTATTTGGCGAGAAACCAAACACTTTGGTTTCCCTCTTAGACGCAGGATTTCCGGGGACGTTACCTGTATTAGCTTGCTATATTTTTTGTGTTAATTAGATATTTAACGTGTTTAATTACTGCCTTTTTAATTCACTTGCTTAACGTAAGCTTTGCCTCTTTAATCTACCTTTTTACCTTAATATTTCATATTCGTTATCAATTTGGGGATTTTAAGAACTATTTACCACTCATTAAACCGTTATTTTCTGTTATTTTCCCCAAAATTCTTTTAATATTAAGGTACTCAACCGAAGGTGCCTTGATGCAGCTATTATAACGGGACTGGCGCTTCGAGGGAATATCAGCAACTATGTAACATTTGATAGGAAGCATTACTTCTACTCAGATTTGCCTCTGGGTTATCAAATTACTCAAAAAAGTAATTTTTACTAAATTTAAGTTGACAAGTTGAGTAAGTTTTTTTTTAGCGCCTATCGTAACTGGAGGTTATGTAATAGTCAAAGATGAACGAGGTATGGGACGTGAAATCAGAATCGAAGGGGTGCACTTAGAGCAGGATTCCGGGTAGAGCCTTATTACGTAAACACTTATATTTATTAGTGGTTAATGTTTCTTGAAGAAAATCATTTGAGTTACAAGGTACTAAAGCAACTTTAGTGGATCTTAACCGCTGTGGTGTCGGTTTATTGGAGGTCTTTCAATACTTTCTACATAAAACTCTTTTCGTTTATATTTAAGTAAAGATAGTGACTAAGCCTGACTTAAGGAACGGGCAAGAGGCATTGACGTTTGTGCGGGAGCTCCGTCGCATTTTACAAGAGATCGGAGTTTGCACAGCTAAAGTCGCCGCTGGTATGCCTTAACGTCGACATCTCTCCCCCAAGTCTTTGCCAATATCTTTCTTAGGCGAGATGCGCGTGGATGCCAACGTTTCTGTCCATAGTCCAGGTACACTGCTGTGTCATTACCGCGGCGCTAGCTTGATTCCTCACTTCTGCAAAGGTGGACCTCCGGGGACTCGGGTGGAACTTAAAAACGTAAGCGGAGCAAAGAGCCTTCGGGAGGCAATCGGTCTTTTGAAATTTCTATAAAATTTAGTCAATCCATTTAAATTTTATTTTGCAGATCAGGAGATCGACCGCCAAAAGGAATTGACCACTTCGGGCTACGCAGTTTCTAGGGAGACCCGCTCTTACTCGCTTCGGAGCAGATCTACTTTTGTAAAAAGGGTTAAAGAGAGTCTCGAGGACTACAGGCATTGGAAAGACAACTGCTTTGAAACGCCGTTTAGTAGTTACTCTAGTTTTTTAAAGATATCTTCCTGAGCCTGACTTGCCCGCAATTCTCGTCCCAAAGGTAACATTGTCGTTGTAGTTACCAACAACCGCATCCATTCTATAAGCCCTTTATAGTCGTACGTGGAGCATCTAAGGACAAGACTTCCAGAGCTTCCCTTGAATACACTATCGAGAATCTCGAAGCAGTACGGCATTGGTAAGTCGTACTCTGGTAGTATTGTACGTGAGCCCTACGACTGCGTGACTTCTTTTAGGGACCCGCCAGTGCCAGATCCTCGTAGCACGGCCGGGGGCGGTTCAATACTTTGAAAAGGTTTTATAGTTTTGCCGTTTGTAGTTCCATAGCGCTTTTTTAAAGGGATCGGAGAAGGTTTGTCAGGGGAGGAAAGCCTCTTTGGTGGCGTCCTTAGTGGTGTACGACGTCATGAAGGAACTGAATAAACAGAAAATAGAAAACTTCGAAGACTGCCCCCTGCCCCCAGAACGTCTGGGAATTCTTGTTGATGCCGTTGCAGAGGGGATCGTCTCCGGTACAACGTCTTCCTTTAAAATAATGTTCCGGATTAACCATTGCTCTACGGCAGTTTCCAATGCAAAGCTGGTGATTCCGCATCTTTTCGCCTCCTCCAAGAGTGTCGCACAAATCATAGAGGAGGTAATACCCACTACCAGCAGCGCGTCTATTCTATTGAGCTCGACCCGTTCAAAGAACAATTGGAGGCAAATCGACGATCCCGAAGAGGCCGAGCGATTCTGTCGCTCTTGCTTTAGCAATAGCCCCGTTGTAGGAGATCCTTTTTAATTTAGAGATGGGGACATACAAACCGCATGTTTCTTTTGTCGCAGTTTGTGGAATACTTAAAGGGGAAGAGAGAAAAGCTTGGTACTCTCCTTGGATTGGTTAAAGAAAAGTCGAATGGCCGCATACCGTCCGGCCTCGTTATTGAGTCCATTAACAAGCTCCAAGCGGAGCACAAGCATATTTGAATTTAACGAGCACTCCTCTGACATTCATTTGCGTGCACAATAACTTTATTACTGCCATGTTAGCTTTAGCGTTTGACCCTGAGGACGGACATAACGTGTTTTAACCAACATGTACAAAAAGAGGAATAAAAGTGTATAGTAACCAAGTGAACTTTTTCCGAGCCTTCTTCTGACCGGGCTTCTTCCGCTCAACGCAGCGAGGATCACGCACAAGATAGCGGTCTAGAAAGCCAAATACACTTTGATACACACAAGCGCCCTCAGCAATAGTCGCTCACATTTAGTTAGTGCATCCCTCCAGGTCTCGTTCATGCATGCCAGCGCCCGGGCAACGCCAAGCCGAATGGCTTCGCTCTGACCCTTGTGCCCGCCCCCTGCAACCTCAGCGACCATCTCAAAATCCTCCTGCGGACTGATGGCAAGAAATGGGTCGACTATGTTTTGGCGATGGATGATCTATGGTGAGTCGCAGTGAGTTGGACGGCCCTCAGACTTTGGCTAATAGAGATTCAACGTTGGAAAAGTATTCACTCATCGGGAGATCGTTAACGATGAAGGGCCCTGCCCCCTGCCGGAGTTTTATAGTCGCACGCGAGCTTTTTCTAGCGCCCTCCGCGATAAGGAAGCCCGCGGAGTCTGTCTACAGGGGTTTGAAGGATAACGCAGAAAAAGCATCAAGTTACAACCAAAAAGCCACTCGCCTCGTGTTTCTGGTATTTTTTCGCTCTCTGAGACGCGTGAGACCCATAAAGTTGTAGTACTTCTTCCATGTGCGTAGAACGCTATTGCGAAGGCGGTGACACAAGAAGTAATTTAATAAAGTTAAAAAGTAAAGATGTAGTGCAAAGTTCATAAATTACCGGATCTTTGACAATATTATTTAGTAAAGCTATAATCTCCTGGTACTCACTCTCCAACAACGGCCCCCCTATGGCAGATTCAAGCTGAGTTTTGCTTTTCCAATAGTGCGAATCCTCCGAATTAGTACTCTTCAGAAGCATAGTTTATTTTATTAAACGTCTTAAGATAAAAAATTATATTTTAAAAAGTATACTGTGCGGGGTGTACAGTTATCTCCAGGGTAACTTTGGCATATGGCTTCATAAGTCGACTCAATTTTATAAAGCGTTTCATAAAAATAATAACGGCCTTAAAGAGATGTAAGTAAAAAAGTAGTAGCACCACCGGCGCACTCTAGAAAAACCTGTGTATATAGACAAAGAAGTTTTCCTGCCCCTACTGTTTTTAGTTGCTCTACTTTCTTGGGGTAGACTTCTCGGATCAAAATTTCTTTCGGGATAGAAATATTCAAGTTCCCTCATATAATCTAAGAAAAAATGAGGTATATCCAGTAAGTAACTAGTCTTCAATGAAGTACCTTTTTCTTTAATTTTTCGGTAGTCTTCAAAAGTGGCATTCTTTTTTCCAGTCACGAAATAAGCTAAGTGTTGATATACACCTTTTAGCCTATAATATTCATGGTCCTTGTAGCTAAAAATAAAACAAACATGCGCAAGTTAAGAGCTGGCTCATAGGCTTTTCAAAATAATCTAGAAACTAACCCTAAAGGTGTGAAATTCTTATTCTCTTTGGTATCTGTGTCAAGCTGGGGATCACCTGCGAAGTCATCAACAAAGTACTTCTCAAAATTTAAAAAGTTCTTTTTGCAAGAGCTTTTAGTATCTGCTGTTGAATAAAAACAGAGTAACCTTTTTTTAGGCAAAATATGACGAAAGAAGCGGACTAACGCGCTAATCATCCGATGTACTAACTTATGTAAAAATAGAAAGCCTTTAACAATTAAATGTATGAGCTGTAAGCAGGCAAAACCGCTCCCCCTTCCCTTCCCCCTTTTATTTGGTCTCGAACCTCCTATTGGAACCAGCTGTAATGATTAGTTTTAATACTTTTAGACTTACTACGCTACGTTAAGTCAGATAATAAGCATATCTAACGAGTACTCTTGAAAATTTAGTTTAAAATAATTTTTTAATTTTTAAATTTGAATGAACCCCCACGTAATTAGCTATATGGTACCCATACAATGCATATGGCCCTTCAAGATGGAATTTATAGTGAACCCCTTTACTGTTATATAAAATCTGCATTTTGCCGGCTACCGTTTTGAGTTTTAAATTGTCATAGTACCAGGCATTGAGAATTGTTGCCTTCAAAGCGGCTGGCTCTTATCCTCTTACCTTTTAACACTTCTAAAAAATTGTAGGCCACCGAAATATTGCTTTAAAAAAGTTAAACTTTACTTTTCTTGTTGTAATAAACCTATGATGGTTTAATACATTGGTATAAAGAAAATTATAATAATTTCAAGTTGATAAGAAAAATCTTGAAAAACAACGGTAGAACATACAAAACTGTTGCATCTTGGTTAGGCCAAGCAATTAGCCCCATGTCGTGTCAAACACGACACTTTTTCATAATTATGTATAGTTACATACGGGTGTAGGCGTAAAGCAATTCAGTAAATCTATTTCTGCTTCTTTCTTACTTCCGAATCATTAGCCTAGGTGCTATAGTTAATATATATTATACAACGCACACCGAGAGCAAAAATTAACAATAGGACTTTTCTTAATCTCTTTATACCTATCTTTTATTGGCCTTCTAATAGAAAAACATTTCTAGAGGCTAAACTACAATGCTTTGCACTAAACTGTTCACAGGCACTTAATAAATTACGTTATATCTATTTCATACAGATAAGTAAGCTTTTGTAGCAAAAGTGGATCGAAAGACGAAACAAAGGCGGTTGACTAGCTTAACGCTTGTGTTAGAGTTGAAAATTTTCTTGTGTAAAAATTACTACACCTCCTTACGGCTAAGCCATACCATAAAGGTTTTCGTTGCTTAAGAACAAGTTTTTCTAGTTAATTAAAGTTAACTAGTGCAAATTTATTTCTTACAGTTTAAGAAATAATAAAAACTCAAGTAAACGCCCACTTGAGCTTAAGCAGAAGTTGAGAAAAGACGCCGTTGGGTAAACAGTAGAGATCTTAACATGGTCGCTACAGAGAATATTAAAGCAGCCCGCAATCGCGCAGGTTTCTCTTAATGATGGTGTCGGTGACTGCACAGAACACAAACTTTATGTTGTCGGTATCTGTAGCGCACGTGAACTGCGTGTAGACTTCCTTAGTGGAACTTTTACAGCACGACTCGAAAACTTCCTGGATGTAGCTACCGCAGGGCTCAAATTCCTGGGGGCCTGCATAAGTTGATAGGAAACAGTCGGTAAGATCACGCAAATAAAAAACCATCGTAGGCGGGGAAGCAGACGGTCAAGGGCACCTTCTCGATCTTCGCCTTAAACAGATCAACTTTGTTCAAAAATAGAATGATGGAGGTATTTTCAAACCACTTGTTATTGCAGATCGAGTCAAAAAGTTTTAAAGCTTCCTGCATCCTATTCTGTTACAACCGAAGAGCCAGTAAGGCAGACAGCAAGCACAGCAAAGACGACACCTGACCTGGCTCTCGTCTTCGAGCAGGACAGTGTCATACCCGCTGAGGGACACGCAAAAGATAATGGCTGTCACATTCTCGAAACAATGGATCCACTTCTTGCGTTCCGACCTTTGACCGCCGACATCAAACATCCTTAAAGCGCGGCATAACAACATAATAAAAGGATTGTCGATCCCTAAAAACCTGAAGTTGAGGGAGCGGTAAGTAAATCTCGTCTCCACGATGCCGGTGGTTTTCACACGTGAGCGCAAGATGTCCTGGACAGTAGGTAGGTAGTCCTCCTCAGAGATCCTGTCAATGTTCTCAAAGTAGCTAAGGCAACGTGGCCTCGCTCAGTACCGAAAAGAGAAAAAAAGCCGAAATTATATACTATTTTGCTGAGTCGTTTAACTGGTATTTCGACGAGCGTGAGAAGGCTGCTTGGATATCCGGATCGGCCCACAACGTTTTTATGGCTGAAGCCGCTGTAGAGAGTTACTTGGCTCTATAAAGGCAATAAAAGGCAACGAGGCACTACTTTCTTGATCAAGTACGAGATTATCCACCTGATCGCCCAACGATAAGAGTTTGTCCGAAAGTTCCTAACAAGCAAAAGTAAGCTCGAATAGACTAAAAAGTGAGCACTAAACAAGTTAACCTTAATTTCGGGCTTTAAAGTTATCACAAGCTCCGGTTCAAGCACTTTATTCTCAATAGCAAGTAAAATGCATTGCATTGATTGTGTTATATTACCTTTCATAAAACGTTAAACACTCAAAAATTGAAAATTACAAGATAAAATTAAAATAAATGGCAAATTACTGCGAACTACATCCTTGTAAGCTGCTCTTTCGCTCTCTGTGTAGCCATCCTCGTGGATAATTTTCATCTGCTTTACAATTGTGCTCTTCCCCGACTCACCAGCACCTTGTGTTAAAAACAGAAAGTAAATAATAAGTTTTCAAATAAAGTTAGTTTTGGTAAGTTTATATTATTTTATCAAAATAAGGTAGTAAGTGCTAAAAATACCAAGTAGTAGTAATTTGACTTCAGTCCTCTGTTTAATCCTTTCCTCTTTCAACATCTCATCAATCTTCCTATTTTTATCGCGCGCAGCAGGATCTATAGTAGATCCACCAGATAAGCAGTTACCCATGTTTATAAATGTTTTTAAACACTGAAGAGATTTTTTCAATTACGTGACCCTAAAAAATTTATTTGTAAGCGAGAGTCAAAAGAGGTTGAAAGTTTAAGTTTGTAAAGCCTTCAACTTTAAGTGACAAAAAAATATTCTACGAACCTTAAAATCGTAAAAAACCGCCAGGCAACAGGCCTCTACGCCAGTGTTTAGGTTCTGGAATTTTAATAAAGCTGAAACTTGAAATAAGGTATTACTCTGCTAATAAAGAAAGTTTTACTTCTTTATATGGTAAAAATATCGCTTAGTAAAGTGTGCAAAAGCCAATTGTCAGGCTTTTGTAACCACTGTAACGGGGCTACTAGTTGTGGGAGGTTTTTATAAATGTAATTCTATGCGGAAAAGCCCCCATAAATGGAGTTTACTATAAAACTTACCCCTTTTGATTTACTTGTTAACTTACTTGCTAAAAATATACTAAAGCAAAGAGGTATCGCCTAATGTTATAGATGTAATATTGAACTAACAAGATGACAAGTTTAACAATCATCCTAATAATGTTAGGCAAGCCAAATAGGATTAAAGATTGATTTAAACTTACACATATTCATCAAATGAATAAAATATATGTAAAGAAAATATATTTAAACAATATAAATAATCGAAACAGAGCGCAGAAAAACAATTAGTGCGCAGGAATATAACCACTCGACCAGATTAAAAGACTTGGAAGCACCTGCCGCTAGAGGGCTTGGCTAAGATCCCGTATTTAATGGTCATAATCTAATGTACTCCCCTTTAAAGAAGCAGGTTCAAAAAACAGGGGCAACAGAGCTGTACTACAAAAACTTTGAATAAAAAGAAATCATTAACTAAAAGGCTCTAGGAAGAAGCAGAATATAAAATACGATTTAAGAGCAGAAGTGAAACTAAATGCTAAACTTAAAACAGGACCAATAGCTACCAGTAAATAAAACTATAAGATGCTAAAATTAAGAGCATAACTCCCAACTACGCAAAAATTTTTATTATAAAGAAATGAGCTGATAGCAAAGTAGTCATAAACGCAAATTTTGTAAGCAAGTTTGCAAGCGCAACTTTTTAAGAATACACTTTCAAGGAAAATGCCGTTAAAAGATTTCTAAACGTTTAATTTGATAAATGGATATAAATCTTTGTGGGCGTCTCTAAATTTTACGAAATTTCTCAGAATACTCTGCGCGCTTAACCCCATAGCATTTTCTTGAACTTTGTACGCGCTTATGAAGGATTTAGTAATTTTCCTAATGGTCTTTGATATGTAGACTGTCTGATTAAAATTTCAAAGTTCCCTGTTAACCTAAACTGAAAATATTATAAATTTAGGTTTACTCGTTGCTGTACAGGTGTCATGAACTAGCACGCAACAAGATAAGAATGCGATATAATCTTGGGGTAACATGCTGTGTCCTTAAATGTGTACCGGAGTTCTGAACTTAGACTGGCAGGTACCTGAAGTGACCCTTTCGCCGTATTAGAACCTTAAATTCTGTTACTCCTTAGTATGACTTATGCCCTGTTTTAATTCTGGGTCTCTTTTTAAAGCTTTAGCCCTGAATTTTGTTCTTATACGCACTTATTTCATATATAATAATTTTTTGTTTATGTCGTTAGGCATTTTTTTTTTCCTCTTCATGAAAAATCTTATGACCTCAAGATTCATAACAACATAAGGCCCACACAATTTCTGAGTCAAGGTTGTTTTTATAAAGTTAAAAAAGGGGATAGAATTGACGTATTACTAATCGAAAAGTTGTAGGTTACAATCCTGCCGTTTATTTCTTGCGCTGATATCTTATTTCCTAGTTCTTGTAGCCCTTATTAGCTTTGTTCACATGCTCAAGTTTGTATCATTTTACTTTTACTAGACTTCCGGAAACTAAGCGAATTTTGCTATTTTCTTTAGTCTAAATCTTGTCTTGTGATTCAGTTAATATTTTAATTGATGTACCATATACACTTTGCTCTGGCCTAACAACTTCACAGCATTAACCATTACCTTTACGGTACTGTTTGTACTTAACAGAAATTGTTTATAATTTAATGGTCATTGTAAAAAGCAAAGTGAAAAATCTTATTAAAAGGTTACCGATTGGTGTAAACACCACGTGATATGTTATAATATATTTCAAGCGCTTTCCAGAAATTCTTGGATAACTAGGGTTACTAGGTATAAAAAGAAAGATTTTTTGCATTCCTGTATTAAAACGATGATATGGAATGATTTAGTACTTGCAGGTAATTAAAACAAATGATTACGAACAATTGGTAACTGGCCTTCATGGGTTAGCTGAACAAAAAACCCAGTACAAGAGGATACCGTCAAAATACGAAGTTTTTATTATACTAAAAAAAAAAAAAAAAGTATTTGTTCTTTTTTCATCTACCCCTTCTATGTGGTGACCCAAGGCAGAATTAAAAAATTTAATGTTCTTTAAGTTTATTATATACTAGCGGGATCAACTTTTTAAATGGTAATGCGTCGATTCAGCGAATAACTTAGGGAAAATACATATAATTTATGCTACAGAAGGCTGAAAAACCTTTGTATGTGTTTATTTTGAATGCTGTAACTGGAATCTTGTTAAATTAAATTATTTAATCCATGTGACACAGCGATGTTATGCACGAATCATTAAAATAAAATATCAGAATAATTATAATTAAAAGTCATACCAGCGCAAAAGGTAATTATTTCGGTGAAAAATCCTCAATAAGCTAGATATTAATACTTACTTGGAAACAACCACTTAATTTTATTTGTCATTTCGTTTAAGATCTCAAATATTTTTTCTCTACTTTATATAAACTGAAACGCCCTGTGTTCTTAAAAAGTAGTTAACGCCTCTTCAATGCTCCACCATTCCCATTCCTTTAAATGTTATAGTTTGCAGTATTTATTGATTAAACCTTGTATATGTTCTATTTTTTGTAAAAACAAGGAATGCTAGTTTTTAAAAAAGGTAGAGATACGTATGTAGCCGATATAGTTCTATAAAGACTAAAAGTGGAATAAACTAATAAATTAGGAGAATAGACGTATAAAGGTAATAGTTTCTATGTGGAAAGGAACTTAAAGAGAACCTTAGAACATAAGCGAGACGAAGACACTTTATTCTATAAACTTAACAAAACCGACCTGACAGTTCAATATTTATCTTATTTATTTATTGATATACTACATTCAATAGGCACCGCACATTATTACATTTTTATTCCCTTTACAAAACTAAGAAGAGGTGAAAAAGGAAACGTTCCTTCAAATTGCGTATTCCTCATACAGCACTTAAGCTGATTGGAATTTTAATGTTTATACTCTTTACGGTCGAGTGTCGTCCTTCGTTCTTTATCGTTCTATGTTTTATTCCGTTTATCTTGTTTTTATTGTTATTTTTAATAAAGTTATATCTGTAGTATGATACTTCCTTCAGGGTTACAATATCCCATCTTTTTTTCATAGAAGTAACGTTACTTTAAGAGGCCAATTCATAGGCAAATGATCGGCAAAGAATGGATAAGTAATAAAAGATAAAAATAAAGCTACTTATGACTTGCCTATATTGTTTCTAATTTAGTGATGTTAAAAGAAAAGTATAGTTAATAACGTACTATATATAAGAATTAATAAAAGGAAAAATTATAGTTTAAGTCGAGACTCACTTATAACCAGCTCTTGTATTATTCCTTTTTATTTCAGTGACTATTGTAGATGCTAGGTATCTTCAAACGCAGATTGTATAGGTGGGGCAAGGAGTCAAGGGCTCATCTGTGTAACTCATTTGAAGTTTCATGACTGTTATAAGAAGTCGATTATTAGCGGAGACACATCAGTGCTGAGCTCCTGTCACCCGGCTTAGGGTGGCGTTGTTCGTAGAAAACAACTGAAAACCACCATTGCGTGAGAGACTACTGGGTTTAAAACCTTTTAATAGACATCGACTTTCACTGCTGCCGAAACCCCCTTAGTAAACTTTATTATGTGGTTAGTGCTAAAAATCACATCATAACTATATATATTTTATGGAATCTATTGTATAGTTCTTAAAAATAAACCCGATGAAAGAAATATGGTGGACCCCTTTATAAAGGATTAGTTGGGAGAGGAACTATCTTAAATATTTAAGCAGTAAAAGGTTGGCTGGCCTTTGAAGCTTTTGTAAAAGTCTAGGGCGTATTCGCTAAAATCAAGCTTCCTCACTGTTTTTATTGTAAACTACCATATTTAGTTTATTTAATAATACATTTGCTAGGATCAAGAAGTTTCTATTTAACTTTTAGTTGAATATATTATATAAATTATGAAAATAAAGTTTTCAGTGTTTTAATAGTCAAGTAAGAAAATTAAATTTAGAATTCTAGATTTAAGGCCACAAGCTGGAGGCCCAACAAATAGTCCCCTGCAACTGCTAGCACAACACATCTATAAATAGCACTATCATCTAAATCGTGTCAATGCACTATTGCGTTTTTAGCCTTTTGCCGGGCGGAGTATGTCGTATAATTCTGCAACCGGCAGTATTTTAACAATATTTAGGTCATTATAGGGTGTGTTATAAAAGGTAAGCAATGTAACTCTATTAGCAAGATGTTTATATTGTTGTACACCTCTAGTTATATATTATTTTAAGGTTCTTTTATTTTTGAATACTGGCAACTCTAGGATACACCGATCACTGGAATGCTTAATAAAAGTTCTGTTGGGAAGTCTAAAATTATTAAAGCAGTTCCTCTGTCAACTGTAAAGGAGGATACTTTTGCTTTTGTTGTGGTGAGCCCAGTAAAACTCTAAAATTTAATATTTACGGTTTTACTTTAACATGGTTTTTGCTCTGCTCTAGAAAACTAGACACCAGTTTGAGACTTGCGCTTTATCACTTGCCTATAATTCTAGCCAAAAACTGCTTGCTGTTGGCTTTAAAACGGGAAAAATTTTAATTCTTGGAGGTTCATCTCCTTCACTTAATATTTTTTGCTCCTTATTTTGTTATTATTTTATATTAAGCAGATGTCGGAGTGGAGGTTACTTTGGTCTTACCAAAAACCTCGCCTGTATGGCTACTAAAATTTGCAGTTGGAAAAGTATATTTTTTCTGGATAATGCCCTGCCGACGATTATTTTTCAAAAAAACAATTGTTTTCTCTATATTATCTGTAGCCTTATCTACTCGCTTCAGATAAGAAAGTTGTCTACATATTCAGCATAGATTCCCAAGAACCAGAGATTGTCGGCTCACTGACTACTCTGCGGGAAGAGTATGCGTTTTGTACATGCCTGGAAGTTTGCTTGAGACGTGTTTGCTTTTTCAGGATCAGCACTATCCATGCCCCAGTGAACAGCTCCTGGATCTACTTGGGCACCCAAAAAGGCAACGTGCACCTCCTCAAAGTAGAGCTCTGCGCACTGTCGAGCCGTGTAATTCACTGGGATAAGTTGGTCGCTTGGTACTTTTAATTTTTTTCTCGTCTATTTTTAAATTATCCGTACTCTCTTTAGCACAAAGGAGCATCCCGGGCCTGTGGTTGTGGTTGAAGAGAATCCCGTAGACTTAACCAAGCTTTTAGTGGCGCACTCTTGTTAATTTATTGCTACTTTTATATAATAAAGAGATTTGAGTTAAGTTGTTTAGGTAACATTTCTTTATATAGTACCAAAAAAAATAAGTTATTGGGATGTTTTGGGTCCAGTTATATAAAGGTAATTTTAATCATTCCTATCATTTTGTATTAATATTTTTTTGGGGGGGGTTTAAGGAATAATAAAACTGTAAACAGTCCGTTTCATAACATTTCTTATTATTAAAATTTAGCAGTGAAGTAGGGGATATAATTTGAAGTCGACTTTGACATATTTATTATGTTTTCCCTTTTTTTTTTGTTTAGAAGCTCTACTTTTTTTATTTGTTAATCTATAATTAAATTTTCAGAAGTATTTATTATTCGGAGTCACAAGCTTTTTTATTTTATCAACAATTTAGCCCGTTACCAGTCTTTCATGGTATCACGACGGCACCAAGTTTTATTCCGCTCACAATATCGGCTTGAGAGTTCTCTGGTCCTCAACAAGATTTGATTTTCCCGTGTCCTTTAAGTTTGGTAGATTTCAAAAGGAGATATAAATCAACCTTATGGAGTTTTTTTTTAAAGTCCTTATTACAAAGGGAAAGAGGAAATGGTGACCGACGACTTGCAGATAGAGACAATTAACAAAATCACTTGCGTTGGGTTATTATTATTTTATTATATGCAACTTTCTTTCCGGTGATTTTTCTGCTTACAAATAAATACTATCTAAGAGATTGCGTTGTGTTTGATGGAGGACAACAGTCTGTTTCTGGAAAGTATAGCATTAACGTGAACGAGAACTCTTTACTTCTAGATGAACGCGTGGTGGATTTTGTGGCCTTTTCTGACAGAAACAGCAAAGGTTATAAGTAAGACCAAACGAAGGTAAAGCGCAGTAATAGTCCTTTTTTTCCACAGACGCGATATACGCGGAACACTTGGTGGTCTTGCACGAAACCTCTCTCGCTTTTTATACAGTCGAGGAGAAAAAGTACTGCGCGCTCCACTATTCGTTACACTTTCCTGATAGCTTTGTCTGACTCGCTACACAGTTTTTCCAAGCAAGCGCATCCATACTCATTTCGCATAAGCGAGAACACCGATCAGTTAACTTGCGTGCGTTACTACATGTGCACCGACAGAAACTTTTTTTCCTGTATAAAGTCCCTGGGAAGCATTCACAAAGTACATTTTGTTATTAAAGTTTAAAGTAAAGTGTAAACCCACTACAAACTTTATATAAGTAGTCAAAGCAAAAAAAGAGTTTTATAATGAGCGGCGGAAAGAAAGGAAAGAAAACTTCGGCGCGAGACTTTATTGTGGCGGGGTACGTTGGCTGCCTCGTGAGGATAAGCGGGTGGGAATAACAATCAAGAGCTATTAGTTATGCCGACGGGAAGATTGATTTCTGGAGCGGAGAGAGAGTTGTTCTTGCCCACCTGGCGACTTTCGATGTACTCTTTTCTCTTTACCTGCTTCGTCTTTATTCACATGGCATGCAAAAGCTGAGGAGTTATGTTAGTGGCATCTCCCCTTCGCTGGGAAGGCAAGTTCTACTTTCCGTGCATCTTCTTTACCACCTTTGAAGTGCTTTTGAAGCCCTCTAGAGCTCGACTGTTACCATATTTGCGCATTGGAACTCTGCATCCAATCAAGAGAACTTGTTGTGCAGTTCAAAAACAGATGTCTATTCGTATTTACTTTCAGCGAAACGCCCGCCGACGCCGCCTTGAACGTTGAATAACTGTTTCGCTTTTTTATAAATCTAATTCTTTTCTTTTCCAGCTCTTGAGCTTCTCGGTAGGAGCCTCTGAAGGCAGGGAGGGTCGCACTTTGCGCACATCTTCCTTACTAAGGCGTTCGAAGTCCGAGAGCAAAAAAGCACAGGAAGTTGCTCAGTCTCTTACCGCCGGTGTCCCTGAGAATATACTCTTCTTCAGCAACAATGCACGGGAGTAATGCGCCTTTCTTATTCGTGCGTAGTGTCCAGTTGTGGCCTTGGAAAAGTAATGTTAGGCGGGGGAGCGGAACTCGAGAAAACCACAAGCGCTGGAAATTCTCTACCAAAAAAGAAGCGATTTTCGAAACTTATAAAAAAGTTGAGGTACAGTTGAACAGTAATAATAGTGAATGCCTTTGACCTTCCACTCAGCATCGCTCCGAAGAAGGAAAGTTTGCCGCTGGATGAGGATGCACCTGCGCTTGCTGTCGGGACCTCGTATTGTCTCGCATCTTTCATCGTTATTATAATAAATATTGTAAGGAGCCGGTTTCCGAACAGCCACGTGTGCGAGCTGAAACTTTCTCGTATTGCTCTCCCGCTGGTTTTCGTCTTTCGACTATTCTTCTTTTTAGAGGTTCCTACTGACTGAAAACTGCGTCGCGGGTGCTGTACTTCTATAATAACCTTGCCAGGCCCTCCAGATCCATCAGAGTCGAATTCGTGTTTTGCTGTAAACACTCTGCTGAAAAGGTAGGCGGCTCGTAGCTTTGATATTACTTTGTCCGCTCTATAAATTCTCCGCATTGGCAGTATTGCGACCGCTACGGGAGGAGATTTATTTATAGTGGACTACGGGAATGGCGCTGTGTCTTTTAGCGGATCGATTAGCGACTCTGGTCTTTTCGAGGTGGTCGCCTTACCTCCACTCGCTTTCCCTTGGATAAAAACTGTGTAAATACCCAGGAAAAGGACCGTGATAAAATAGCACGTGACACAATCTCGTCGATCAAGTTCACGTACGGCCAGTTAAATGGGTCAGGTAATGCCGTCCATCCTTTCCTAGAGAAGAGCAGTGGATTGGTTTGATGGGCACACTTTTTGGCAGACACCTTTCTTTCCCCGCAACTTATTATCGGGACAACATCGGGCGCATTGCTCTTCTACTCGCTTCTTCTGCTCGTGCCGCCCACGCTCGGTTATAGGTTTATTTGTTCTTCGTGGCCAATCATATAAATGCCCTGGTCATGCGCTAGTTCAGTACAAGTACATGATTGAAGAGAAAATTGTGAATGTGGAGGTGACCAACCACGCCGGTGTTATAGTCATGTGCCCCTGTGGCACATGGTCCAGTAGCGTGCGTGAAGCTCTCGAAGAAGACAGTAAAGAACTGCTTCAAGAAGACGCCGCTGTCACTGTCACTGAAAAATACTTTTGCGAGGTACTTTTCTTTACGAGCTCCTGTCCCTACACACATGGTACTATGTGCGCTATTGCAGGAGTTCTGCTATCAATTGCTTGTGGTGACCTCGGAAAAGGCGGTGGTCGTGTGCAGTGCAGACCTCAAGACACTCGTCGCTACTAAAGGTTTAGCAAACGGTTTGATCTTCCGGTCACGCTGTGCTTATCTCGCAGGTCCAATAATTTCGCGGCTCCTCGCTACTCGCACCGAGCTGCCTTTTTTTTTAATAAAGGATGTACTTGCGTGGTTGCGGTCGACAATCTTGGGGACATATTTGTGCTTACCTTTCCCCACTTGGAGTGTATCTACTCCTTTCCCACTTCGGTTCCGCAGTATGAGTCCTTTCGTTGCTGGCCGTCTCTTTCCAAACAAACGCCGCTTAGTGATTTGCTGGGCTTTCTGTGCATCAGCCAGCAGGACGGACGGGTTGTCTACGTATCCAAAGAGCGCGCTTTTGAACGGGCTTCATTGGTTATTGGTGAGAACAGGTTATCTATATTAGCCTTTACAGCTTTGTTTGCTATACGATACTGACAGAAGGTGTGAATAGACTGGAACTGCCAAAATCACTGCCCGTTGCCTACAACGCCGATATTGCTCCCCCTGAAAAGCATTCAGGTGGGATTTTGGGCTCTTTTTTCAAAGAAAACGACGAAGCAAAGAGAAACGAGTTGTGTAAGAACGTTTTCCCTTTCTCCAATGCATTTGCCTTCAAAGCAAAATGCGCTCTTTTCATTAGTCAAACTCCCTGAGGAGCCTCCCGTGCTTGAGAGATTGGCGAAAAAAACGGAGCACAGGAAGGCGCCCATCATGAGAACTCCGCAGGCGCACGCGGAGGGGCTGGCGGCAACTTTGGGAAATACCTTTCAGGTACATGGCATGTCCACGTGGAGGATTTTGGTGAGAAGCTCGAGCTTTTTTTTTACAGGCGCTCGCTGAACGAGGAGATAAACTAGGCAGCATGGACGAGCAGTCCTCCCAAATGAAGCACAAGGCTGCTTCCATGCTGGAAAATGTAAGAGAGTACAACAGGAGAAAAGCTGCTAGAAAGTGGTATCAGCTTTAGCGCTCATGTTAGCTAGTTTATGGAAAGCTAATCCGTTGAAGATCGCTAAAATATACAAGAATTCGCCATGAACGGGTTACTTTCCCCCAATAAACTTTTTAAGTCTCACTAATTCTTTTTTCCCGCTGAGATAATATACGAAGGCGGTGGATTCCAAAGAGCATAGTTAACGGTGGAAGAGTGTGGTGCCATGCATCGCCCTGAAAAGTATCCAATTCACTTTCATCAAAACAACAAAGTTAAGCACACGAATGTTTGTACATGCCGAATATTTTGATTAAGTCACATCGTCGCCTGTAAAGTTTCTTCCTGTAGTTCTACTTTGCCTGTACCCTTTTTACTTTCATATGCACGTACGCATCGAAAATAATATTAACTGTTAAGATGAATACATATTAGACCCACAAACTTCTAAAAAAGAGTAAGCAGTGACCGACTAATATTGTGACCTCTTTCAAAAATATTCAGCCTAAAAAAAAAAGTAGGGCCCCCACTACTAGTTCTTAAGGCAAATTTATTTACAAAGTCAATTTATGGTGCCATTTTGAAGATTACGAAGGAAGACTTTCTAACAATGATTTTTGAAAAATTCTTAGTGTCTTCAACTTAGAATAAAAAAATGGTTAATGAAAATTTGGTGACGGGCGGTTAGTAATGGTGTCCAATAGTTTATGTGTAGTATAATAACCGATAAATGCTTATATAAAATTCAGTTTACAAACATGCTAGTGATATCAAAGATATTAAGTTTCGCTAAAGTAGAATGTTGCAATTGCTAACAATTACTGTCAAAGTAATGTTATCGATCTCGACACCTATAAAGTTTCTTTTTTCCGCAATAATAAAGTAGAATAGCGAACTCTGAGACAAACAAGCTATTATGGGGAATGTACCGGCAGGTTTTAAGAAACACAGTTTAGAAAGTAAAATGGCTATTCAAAAAAATAACCTACTAAAGGGGCACTTTAATGGCCACATATACAGTTCTTCCTTTCATTTTTTACCGGCCCTTTAGCACGAAAAAAAAAATTATAATAGTTTGAATACCAAAAGACACTGTCTCAGCTCTAAACGAAGTTTTTTAAATTGTAGCCATTAGCCGACATAACCACAAAATTAAGCTTTAAAAGTTTAAATACTGCGAAAGAAATTTTGTAGCTAAAACAGTTTTTTATTTAAAGAAATAATAATACTTTCCATATTCCTCTTAGTTTTTTCCATATTTACTCTTTGAAGCTCCACTTCTTGCGCCTTTTTTTGAAGGGTAATGCGAAGTAATTCGGTATAATAAAGACCAAATGTACCCTTCTAGAAGTATCTTCTAGCTTTTTCCCCTCTCTTTTGAGAGCACAATCAAACTCCCCATTGAGTACTTTTATAATTTCCCGTTGTTTATCAAAAGCGATCTTAGAAGGGTTGTTATATAAAAAACAAATTTCAATCAGTGCTGGCATATAAATTGCAAATAGTGTAAAAAACCTTTTTAAAATAAATTCCGTTTCTCATATTTTTTCTAACATTTTTATTACAAAATTTTTTGGCTTTTAAAGCATTTTTCTGAAAGTAATTCGAACTTAAAATAAGCAATAAAAGTTTTTAAAAAATTTAATAATCTATTACTTATATGTTTTTCATCTTACTCAAAGCAAAAAAAAATTAACAAAAAAATAAGACGATCGACCTTAGGTTTCGTCCTCATCAAAACTCAAAGTGATTACTAACTTCTTTTTTTTTTTTTTTAGCGAACGGTCAGGTAAATAGTTTTTAATTGCTAAAGTTCGTATAACAACAACAAGCCTTTATAATCCGCTACAATATGTAGCCCGTATTTTTTTTATACAAAAAAACACTACTAGGGTATGCTTACTTAAAAGTAATCCCTGCTAGCCCGTAGCGCTCCTAAGCCAATATTTCAAAAAGACCACGTGATATCGTCTCACGTGCACAGAAGGGTGCAACGTAATTCCCACCGACTTTAACTTACAAACCATATAGAAGATAAGTTATTATAATCTTTTATTAACCTATATTTGCAACATTGTATAAGTATATATTTATAATACAGATAAAAGGCTTAGATGATGGAGAGAAAGGAATCACATAAACCTCATAGAAAATCGAGTGGAGGGAAAAAGTTAAAAAAGAATCAACAAAAAAAATCGGAAATGGATAAAGAGGAAAGTAGAGAGAAGTGTAATAAGGAAAGAAATTTTAAGGTTAGGTTTAGCCATTTTTTAATCATATGAATTTGAGCCTAAATATTATACCTTTAGGCTTTTTCCATGTATTCAGCTGTAAGAGCTGGGAGAGCAGCTCGCAGAGCTCTTGATTTAGCAACCAAAAAACATCACTTACCCGTGCCCATTCGGTTTTTCTTAATTGAATGGAGTTTTTATACTTTTATCGATTTATTATTAGAACTGTTGCGACTCCTCCGCCTTATGTCATCGTCGTGGTGGGCCCCCCCAAAGTCGGAAAAACTACACTTATTAGATCTTTGATAAAACATTATACCAAACAAAAAGTAGTTAAGCCTATTGGTCCTATAACTATTATCTCTGGTGAGGCTTATTCCGTTCTTATTCTTGGAACTTTATATCTTAAACAGTATAAAAGTTTTTCAGTATTCTAATAATTACTTCCTAATGTAATGTTTTTTATTTATAATTATCCAATATTTTTAAAGCTAATTAATATATTATCACTATAGGCAAGAACAAAAAACTTACTTTTATGGAGTGTAACAACGATCTGAACTCTATGATTGATTTAGCCAAAGTGGCTGATTTAGTGCTTATGATAATAGACGCTAGTTTTGGTTTTGAAATGGTTCGCTATTATTGCGGTGGTTACTTCCTTTTACGTACGTTATTATTTCTAGGAAACTTTTGAATTTTTAAACATTTTGCAAGTTCACGGCTTTCCTAAGGTGATGGGCGTGCTTACTCATTTGGATTTATTTAAGCAAAATAAACGATTGAATAAAATTAAAAAAAGACTGAAGCATAGGTGATCCTTGACTTTCCGTATCATATACTTTAGACTTTTTGAAAATAACTTGAGTATTGTATATCGTGATTAATACCTAAAGGAAATCTGTTTAAAGCTTTTTTTAATGTAGATTTGAACTTTTTTAGTTTATCGGATGTTTTATTAAAACTTTAAACATTTATTTTTTAGATTTTGGACGGAAATTTATCAGGGAGCCAAACTTTTTTATCTTTCTGGGATGATTGGCGACGGGTTGGGCTTGAAAATTATATTCAGTCATCATGCAGCTTATAACTTTATCAAACTAACAGTTATCACCGAAGAGAAATTATGAATCTTTCGAGATTTATATCGGTGATGAAGTTCCGTCCTTTAGTTTGGAGAAGTACACACCCGTACGTTCTGGTAGACCGCGTTGAAGTAAGCATAGTCGCCGTCGTGGTCGTTGTTGCTAAATTTATTCTTGTGAGGATCTCACTGATCCCGAGCTGGTGAAAAGAAATCCAACCACTGCTCGGACAGTTTCCTTCTACGGATACTCTCGCGGCATCAGTTTTAAACCAAGCATAAAAGTAACTGCATTGCTTGGATGAATCGAAGTCCTCGTGCGTTTATTTGCAATTCATGAAGATCCATATCCCAGGAGTAGGCGACCTGCCCATGAAAGACGTGAGTTTCCTGCCCGATCCGTGTCCGCTCCCAGAGGAACAGAAAAAGGTCGCTTCGCACGTGGCACTTCAGGAACCGCTCTTCACTTTCTTGCTTTGCTGACGCAGCGGAAACTGCTGGAAAAAGAAACCCTCATATACGCGCCCATGTGCGACGTCGGGGAAACGCTTTATGATAAAGATGCCGTTTATGTCGAAATGGGACAAAACGTTCGGAAGCTGGACCTGTCTAGTGGCGAGAAAGACATATTAGGTACCTTCTTTTGCGCCTGCCAGTGCTTTATATGTAGAGGTTTTTCTTGGCAGTGGGAGAGGGCGTCGGCATAGTAAATCAGCTAGTGAAGGCAGCGGCGCCCATCGACGAGGCATGCAAGGCTAGCACAGTGAAGCTTTTTGCTGCTTCCAGCGGAATAAAGGGGAGCGCGGACGTTTTCGAGGGCGTCCGCAGCGATGCCTTGGGGACGGAAACAGAGCCCAACCCTCGCATAAGACGGAAGGTTGTCTTCTCAGATGTCGAATCGGAAAGCGACAGCGGGTTGCGGTGGAAAGAGCACATGGCCGACAAAGCAGAACAAGCTTTTCTCCAACCCCGCCCCCCTGACTTAATGGGCGCTGTTTACAACACGAATCACACCAGTGCGATTAATTCATTGGACGAGTCTGAGCCAGAGGACGACGACTTTTTCTCGAAAGAAAGACACGAGAAGGTGGGTGATCAGGAGATCGCCGTCACGGAGGACTCCAGCAAGATTCGCGAGACGGGGCTCCACTGGGATGAGGAAGACGTGCAGGTTGTTGTTTGGTTTTCCTCATTGTGTCTCTCTGTATACTGAGTTCTTTAATCAGAAACTCCTTAGAAACAAGTTTGTTACCGGAGAATGGGGGAGCGAAGACGCCGAGAAGCTTTTGATGGAAGACGAGGAAAGCGACGCCGATGGTGACTTCGAGGACCTCGAAATTGCGTCGTGTAGGTTTTTTGCACACCTTTCTGTAAGCTTCTTGGTTATACTAGTTTTTCTAGCTGAGCACAAAGCAGAGGAATCGCCACGTGACGGTTATTCTTTCTATATTATTTTCGTGCAGGCTTAAACATGATTATCAGTCGTTCAACAATCGGACCGGCTCCGCTATGAAGAAAAAGTTCTGAAGAAGGCTGAGTTTGACCGCATGTACGACAATAAAGACAACGACGGACTGTTTCAAGAGATGAAAGAAAGTTTTGCCAAGCAGGTAAGCTATTAAGAGACGTTGCTTACTTCTCTGTTTCGCTGCTCATGCGGTGCAGGCAAGAATCAACGAAAGCGAGTTCGAAAACGAGGCGGCGGAGCAGCGGATCCAGTACGAAGGCTTCCGACCGGGTCTTTATCTCCGGATCGTCGTCGAGAACGTTCCCTCGGAGTTCTGCCAGCATCTTGACCCTTCTTACCCAATTATTATCGGTTGCTTTTCCGGATTGGCTCTGCTCTGCTTTCCGACCCATTTCGTTATTAAGGAGGGCTGCTCAGCAACGAAGAAAACATCGGGTTTGTCCACGTGCGAATCAAAAAACACCGCTGGTTTCCCCGTATCCTGAAAAACAACGATCCACTGATCATTTCGCTGGGCTGGAGGAGGTTCCAGACGGCCATGCAGTATTCCATGCAAGACCACAACATGCGCAACAGACTGCTCAAGTCCTTAAGTTATCCTTTAGCTTCTGTTGCAATGTCTATTATCCCATTGGCTAGATATACTCCAAAACACATGCACTGTCGAGCTACCTTCTACGGGCCGCTGGTAACGCCCAACACGGGCTTTCTTGGAGTTCAGACTGTCGATAGGACACCAGGCTTTCGAATAGCCGCCACTGGAGTTGTCCTCGAGCAGGATGCGTGTTTTAAAGTAGTTAAAAAGCTGAAATTGACTGGCGTTCCGCACAAAGTTTTTACCAACACCGCCTTTATCAAAGGTCTACTCTTATGTCCTACTGTCTTCAAAGTTAATGATTCTTTTCACGAAGACATGTTTACATCGGATTTGGAAGTCTCGAAATTCATTGGCGCCAGCATCCGAACAGTCTCTGGCATCCGCGGGACCATTAAAAAGACTCTCTCGGTAAGCTAACCTTTGCCCGCCGCGTTCGCCCTTCCCCCTTACGGCGGTGCAAGGCTCCACTAGGAAGTTTCCGCGCGACATTTGAGGACAAAATCAAACTTAGCGACATTGTTTTCCTGCGGGCGTGGTACCCAGTGGAGCCCCTCCGCTACTACAATCCGGTGACCTCACTGTTGCAGGCAGACAAAGGCAGCTGGACGGTATGTTTATAGCAACTTTCACGAGTTCCCTCCCTCTTCTCTACTCTTTTCGGTCTCTCCAGGGAATGAAAACCGTTGGGCAGTTGCGCTTCGAGAGGAACTTAAAGGCCAGATGCAAAGCAGACTCGCACTACAAGGCGCGGTTTTTTATTGGCGCCTTTTTTTTACTCATGGCAACTTTATACACGCGCAGTTGATAAAAAGAGAACCCGTTCAGTTTAGCAAGCTGACTATTCCCAAGTCGCTCCAAGCTGAACTGCCGTATAAATCAAAGCCGAAACTACTTATAAAAAAGGTAATTTTTGCTCTGAAGTTCGCGTGCATTGTAGCTTAGTGCATTTTTAGAGCGAAAAAACTGTTAGAAAACAAAAAGCGAAAAAGAAAATATTCAAAATAATGAGTAAAGAAGAAAAGCAGATTAACGTACTTCTGCAGCAGCTGAACACGATAAAGAACCTCAAACTCACCACTAAGCTGAAAAAAAAGCGTAAGTTTTTTGCAAGCCTTCGAGCAACTGAGCTTATGCCGCCTGCAGAAGAGGCCGACCAACGAAGAGCAAAGGAACTTGAGAAGGACGAGGCAAAGGCGCTTAAGCGGCAAAAGGCTTGGAAAAAACAAATAAACAGGAAGAGATCCAAGAGAGAGGGAGTCGCCCGCCGGAAGTCTGCGTCAGCAAGCTGATTTAGCACCGCACTTTCGGCGATGCAAGCAAATTTTATAGGTGACTCGAATTTTATTATGTATTGTCGTCGCTTTACAAGTAGAAGCTATTATTTGCAGTACCTGTCAGCCTTAATTTTTGAACGGCGCTCCTAAAAAACAATCTTAATAATAAAGAGAGCCTTCTATAAAGTTCACTCACTAAAAGTTCTTCGTTAAGCCTTCCTTCTTTCGCTGCTATCTTTAACGCCTTTTTCCCTTCCTTGGAAACCATCGGAGTAGCGCCTTTTCCCTGGTAGCTTTGGTATTTCTTACTGTCGAATAGTTCACGTGAGAGTCACCGCTCAAGACGGAGCAGCCACCAGCAAACCTCGTGTTGAGCTCCAAAACCCCCACGTCTTCTTCGTGATGGGTAACCCTCGCCTTGGCAACCATCAGTGGCGGCTGGTCCGTCCACACTTTAAAACGGACGGAGTCGTCGTCGAGCAGCCCAGTGAGGTTCACAGTTGGATCATCGTCGGAAGGCTCACCACTAGACAGTTAAGCTGCTTGGAACATTTACTTTAAAAGTCGCATTAATAATTCTTACTCCATACTTTTTGCGGACTTTGAAGTTAAAACTCCGTTTCCTATTTAAAGTGTACAACGGAATAATATGTGAAGGTTCAAACTTTAATGTAGGCAGTAAAAAACCTTTAGAACAGAGAAATTTATTAGTAGCACTTTTAAACGAAAAAGTTTTGTCCTGATGCATAAAATATTAGCAGTAGTAATAACTTTTTCAAATTTAATTAAATGTAGTAGTTCGCAATAAGAAATTATCTTGAACTAATATTTTTTACAAGTTCACTACAAGAAAAGGGGCTTTTCAAATCTTTGAAAAACATGAAATAAGATCCAACGAGCTTCTACTCAGATATTTTTTTGGAAAATTACAATAAAAAGTTATTAAAAAAAAGTAAACAACTGTAGAGTTTAAGCATTTTGCAGTATAAAAGTTGCAATTAAAAAAAAAAAAAGATTAAGGGGGCCTGCGCGCAACCAGAGTTTAAAATAACTTACTGGGTTACACTGAACGATCCACTGCTCCAAAGCCCCGATGGCCTCCGCATAACCGCAAAGAGATCCGGAGATGTTCATTCCCACGTACCGATTATATCCGGATTTAAAGGCGTATTGTCCATCGCCTTAAAATAGAATAATTCTCAAAATGCATTTGTTCATATAAACTAATAAAGCAAGAAAGGAAATAACAAAAAAATCCAAAAGTATGTACACTATATAATTTTTATCAAGAAATTAATTTAAGTAAAAAACAAAAATAAGGGAAATAGTTGAAGACTATAAAAAACTAATTTAGTACTTGCCGGCACGATTAAAAACATCTCTGCAGGCTCTGGGCCTTCAGTGTCTTCTATTTTTTAAATAAAATTTAGGTTAAATTATATACGATTCTCTAAAGTGTACAAAAACCTGCACTATAAATTCGACCAGTAGTTAAAGTAGCATCGGGCTATTTTCAAAAAGTAAATTTAATAAAAAAATTATAATAATAATAGTAGTAATAAAAAATAATGAACCTCTGCATATATATACCTTCCGTCAATCAGGTTTTGGATGAATACTACGCCACTAAATCTTTCAACAGAGTCGACAAGATACCACTTTCCTAAAAGTTGTTTGTGGGGTTGACTAAAATAATATATGTATATTTTTTAAAATATGATACCATGCTTTACTTCCACCTCTTCGAAGGTCTCTTCGGCTTCGAGACGGGAACGTTTCCCTTTTTTGATCTTCCTTATAACAAATAACACAAAAAATATTATATGTTAAACTTATAACTTTAATAGATAGTTCAAGTACGAATTCAACAGTATATACTTCTTACTTAATTCTCTTTTGACCCTTAAATCGGAGAGCTGAGGCTTTGACTTGGGTATATTCCATAAAATAAGTAAAAAGAGAAGTAATTAAAAAGGCTCGGTTCCCGTCTTAAAACTTATTCTAAGCACGTAGCACTGCCACGTGTCATTGAGTTTCGTTTGACTTTTACTGTTAATTACATTTGTCTTGCTTCCTTTATGCTTTTGCTTGTATATCTTGCAATGAGTAAAGTATATCTTCACTGCAACTTGTTTAAGATCTGTATACAACTTGAGTTTTTTTTGTATATTTAAAGGCATGTCCAATGAAGTTCCCTCCTATGTAGCTTTAGGGTATAACTTACTGTTAGGAATATATGTTCGTTTAGTATAAATTTTTTATGTTCCATCCTTCTTGCTATTATACTGCAGTTTAAATATTTTTATTTTTTATTATATCTTAAAGGTCTCTTTCTGTTATACTTGAAGTTGCTGAACAAGTAGTCGGCCTTCCAGTTCTACCAAGATTATTTCTAGCCATATTATTTTTAACCCTTTTTTTTACTTAGGAACAATTTATAAGTCCAGATATAAAAAGTTTAGAAGTTTTGTGGCCTAAATATGAATTAGCTAAAAGGGTAACAGAACTGTATGAAGAGTTATACAAAGTACTCTGCAATTATTTAATTTTCTGTTTATTAGCCTGCCCACTATTTAGTTATTATCTACACTTTGATTTCTTTGTAATAAGCCCACTTTTCTCTTCTCTATCTTTTTTTAATTTTTAAATAGATCCAAGAGCGTATTCAACAGCAGAAGCTCAGTTTGCGTTCTTCACCAATTCATATCCACTCAACAAGTTCGTCACTTCCAAAAAGAAAAGTTTAACACAGAAACTCCTTTTATATATATAACAATCATAAGAACTTTAAAGAATATATTTCTTTTTTGTTAGTTTTTATTATTAGCTCATAGCTACTGTAAGTTTATATTTTGAAAAAAGAATTGTTAAACAGCTTCGTATACATAATACCTTCCAAAGCATATATTCCATCGGGATTATATTTTTCTGTCGTAATTAAAACTACCCATATTTTGGATTATTTACATATACAAATAATTATTTAAAATATATAATAAAAGGGATGTTATTTTTTATTTTTTATTTTTAATTATACTTTTAACTAATTTCTCTTGACGAAAAGGCGATTTGCATCAAAAAATCGTTGATTTTTCAGGGCTTTTAAATTTTGTTATAAAGCATCTTCAATCTTTTCAACTGCAGTTGCAAAATCCTTACCGAGGTCCCGGCATCGATGTACATCCCGATTATCACAAGTATATATTTTTCCGATTTTTATGTTTCATTATAAGTTTGTTTAATTTTTATGTGGAATATTTTTGAAAGATCTTATATTTATAAAATTTAAGTTTTTTATTTTTTTTGCATATATATTTGGTTTTATTCGTAATTTATGTAATTTATAGAAGCATAATAATCTCAATTTGTTATTTGCCCATTTCCTAGTAAATTAGTTACTTTTATTGCTCTTTTATTAATGCTTACTTTACTAATATTTTAAATTTTCTAGCATTGGAATTTTTAATTATCTTATTTTTTTTTTATGTTTTAGAGATGTTCTTAGTTTGTTCGAGAATTTACAGTTAATTTCCGATTACTTGAATAAAGAAAATCTAGCAATAAATTATCTTCGTCAGCCCGGACTTATTAAGCAGACTTTGGTTTCTTTACTATTATGATTATTTGTATCATGTTTTAATTTTTACTGGAAAATTTAATATAAATTTTAGAAAAGTTATAAATTTCACTTAATTTATAATTAAATATGTAATTTTTTTCTTATAAAACTACATTATATTTTTATCTGAAAAAAATCGTTGGATGTTTGTATACTTAATCATTCATAAACGAGTATTATTTATATATTAGAGATTTATATAAATATAAAAGTTGTTAATTAACTTAACTACTAAATGTTTTATTGACTTACTAGTTTTTTATTTTTACTTAATCATTCTTTTGTTTAAGTCCTGAATTTATTTTTGTTTTAATCATTTAATTTATATAATATTTTTTATTCCTAATAACAAAATATATTGGAATATTTTTATTTTATTTTTATAATTCTTTAGTTTACTGATATTGAATTACTATATTAACTATAAATATATATGACTTTTTAATTATTACATTTATAAATAATAATAAAAGGAATATATTTTTTAAAAACAATCTTCTATTAAATTATATATGTAGAAAAATAATTTATTTGAATTTTAAATTTAATTAAACCCTGGCATACTTGTGCTCTACTTTTTTTTCAAACTCTATTTTAGGAGCAGTTGCTATATAAAGTGACCTCCTTACTTGCTATTCTTCGCCGAAATTATGAATCTATTTGTAACTATTACACTTTTCTTGGAGATTCTGCTATTAATTAGTTTTTTATTTTTTTAAAAAAATAAAGTTAATATATTAATTTACTGTTTCATATTATTGTCCAATTTTTTTAGTTATCAGTTTTACGCCTTTAACTTCTTAAACAAATAGCGGATCTATATAATCTAATTTTTGAATTTTTAATAGATTGGTTTGCCTAGGTGACTTCTCTGTTCTTAACTAAAAGAACCTCACACACCAAGCGAGGTCGGATAGATTTATAAGACTTGCAGTTTATATCTCCAAATTGTTTTGTAAAGCTCGAAGTTCTCGATTAACGGTATTGCAAGATTTTTAAGTTCTTTCGTCACCCTATCTGTCTCTTTATGTATTGCCTCTTAAGAATAAGTACTTCAACATAAAAATAGTTTCAGGGAGGGTTGCGTACTTACGAAAATGACTTCGGGTCTGCGAAAAAAAGTAGCGTAGCTCAATCAAATTTGAAAAACATGCAGGATAGGAGAAGGGGTGCATAGCATACAGAATTATTCTCAAGGCCCCAATCAATAATTCTTCAAACTAATCAGTTTCAGGGAGGGCTAGCAACGGTCACGTAATAAATCATAAAAGGTTGTGCTAAGTACGACCAGGTATATTTCTTGAAATAGCCATATTCACTAAAGTCGGCGAAACTGGAAATTATAAGCGTATAGATTACATAGGAGCTGCTTTTGCACTTCTTCCTTTTAGCCCACGGTTTTAATATTTTGCCAGTTAGATAAACTCTGCTGTTTCACGACTAATGTTTAAAGAATAGAACTCCGTTAGCAAAGGCTATAAAAGCCTCACTTAACAACTTTTTCAAGTTTATACAACCAAGTCCCTATACGAAATTTTCTAATATAAAGTATTTATAAAGCCGCTGCATCTAAGTTATTTCGTATGCTAGTTACATCTATACTTGTAGCTCAAAATATTTCATTTGTGGCGTGTTTTTACTTATAAAAATGGCTACACCTTCAGCAACAATATTATAACGGTTTTTCCAAAAGTCCTTAGTTTGGGAAGCAAAATCTATTACTCTTCAGATATTTCAGAGATCAGAACAAGATAAACATCCATTCCTTCAGTTTGTGGTCTCAAAGTACCAATTTTTTGAAATAAGACGTCTGATAGTTTAGCAACTTGGCTGTCAAGAGCTTTGGTTATATTTAATAAATTGTTGATTAATAGACTTTTTTTTGTACCTTTGTTTAAAATCTCCTAAGCTAGGTTTTGTCCTTAAGTCCCGAAAGACCTGTCGGCTTCAATTAGTTTCTTTTGAGAGGAGCACTTTTAAGGCAGTGTAGGCAATACCGTTCATTAGAAGTTAGCGTAGGTTGGTCTCCCTTCCATTTCATGCACGCCTTGAAGTTCATGCTTTTCACCGGCCACAGCACATCTATATTAGTAATTGCAGAACATGTCGGTGTGGCATAATAATTGGCTCCATATCCCTTGTTAAATTCTACCAATCTTTATAGAACGGAATTGAAAACAAATTCAATTCTTTTTAAAGTGGACTCATTTGAACAAGAGACCATAATTAAAAGAAACATAAAAACGAAAACATACTCGAAGTACTATTCATATAAACAGAAAAACAAAATTTTGGAAAAAAAAGTAATTTTATATAATAATAAAAAAAATAGACTTCACCAGAACTTTTTATTCCAAGATCGGTAAGACCGTACTTAAACCTTCACAAAAAGAAGAAAAAATTTTTTAAATTGTATAAAAAAGTTTTGACTTTTTTTAATTGTATTTAATGAGTTAAAAGAAATAATTTAATTAATATTAATATATTTTATGGAGCTGTATAGAATTTCTAAATTATCAAAAAATCGAGTTATGATTGGTCATTTAATCTTTCTTAAAATCGTTTTGTTTTAAGATCTTGGAGCGATTTTGTTTTTTCTTTTCGGACTTATTATCTAATAAATTTTCGCTTTTGTTTTTATAATTTAAATAATTCTTTTTCAAGCTTGTTTGAATTATCTTTCACTTAGTTTATTGTTTTTAAGTGTTTAAGTTATAGCTTGTTAGTTTTTAGCTAGTGTTTTCTTGTAACTTCCTTGATTATGTTACTTCATTCTTATACCTTCAGTAGGTTAAGACCCTAATTTTAAAGGTCTCTATCTACGTCCTTTACATTTACTCTAATAAAAAAACCGTAAATGACTACTTTTATCTCTTTTTGGAAGGAAGACGGTACATGAAGTATCTAAGCAATTCTAAGTCTAAAACAAAAGTTAGTTTCCTAAGTTAGATTTCGTGTCTCCCCTTCCTTAGTGCTTTGCATCAAATGCTTTAATATTGTTAGTTTTAAATGAGTGACTACTCAATTTTCCAGTTTTTTCTATTACATATTGTTGTGGAGGTATGCCGGGTATTTTTGATAAATATAGTTACTGTAAACATCGATAACTTTTCTTTGAACTTTTAAAAGTATAATAACTCATTGATAAGTTAAAAAATAAAATAATAATTATAAATTTGTTAAATATTATTCTATGTTTTAAAAAAAAAATTAAAAAAAAATAATTTTAAATTGTTATAGTCAATGTTACACCATATATAATAAATAATACAATACAAAAGGTTAACAATTTATAATAAAATTGTTTATTATTAGTGTTTATTAACACCTTCCCTGTTATCTTTTTGTAACTTCTATTATACGTATTATTAGTACTTTTAATAAAGTTATATTCTAAAGTCATTGTTACTCCTTGTAATACACTTCTAAAAATTTATTTATAAATGTTCATACTTAGTCCATAATTTTTTTAAATTTTATTTTCCCTTAATATATTTTCATTCAAATTTTTTCTCTTCGTTGTGGTTAAAACTTCTTTTTTAAAAGCAGCGTTGACTAATAAGTTGGCGGTGAGTTCTTGTTTTCGGTTTTGGCAGAAGAATAACTCTTTGTTACTATCTTAAAGATGAAAACATAGATTAAAGTGAAATAATTAGTACATAAAGTTAATTAAATAGCTGAACAAACAAAATGTTTAATAAAAGCAGTATAAGTTCAGCAAGCCCTGGAGCAACTTCTTTGATGACAAGTATAGCAATTGATAAGTTTCACAAACCACATAATATAATATACACAAAATTTGTAATACCTTACTAAATTTTGTATACTTAGTTAATTTACTTATCCATTCTTAAATTATATTTTGCGCTATTAAATTTCTCAAGGATTTTTTCTGTCATTTTTATAATTTTCATGTTGTTTTTTGTTATTAAATTTTTGTATATCTTATTTATTTGATTTATTGATTTATTGTTTATTAGCAAGAAAAACTGACACTTCAATCCACATATTATCACTTATAATAAATTATTTCATGGTACTTTAATAAAAAATTTAAAAAACAATTAATTTTAATATATATAGAGTTCTTGGAGTTCTTTTATTTTAAAGACATTTGTAATATTTTTAAAAAGTAATGTTACCCGTATCCCTTATTTAGTAAAGCTTTCAGAAAACAATAATTTAACTAAACCATTATACTCCCCTCATGGATTTTCATAATATAAACTTAATATAAACAAATGAAACTTTAATATAATTTTGATTAATAACTCAATTATATACATAGTTCTTGTTAGTTACAAAAGATATTAAGCTACCAAATAGGTTTTATTAGTAATTTTTTAAGTGGAAATGATAATGGAATAACTGTTAGATAATTGGTACGATTTTATAACTGAAAACGTTGCTGTTTGTGCTTTAGGTTTAATTTTTTTTTTAAATTAGAGTTAGTTATCCTTGAATTATCAGCTAAATTAAGTGATAGTAAGAAACTCTTAATATATATTTTAAAAAATTATTATTTCAATTATGGTTTTTTAAGCTGTGTGAGGTTTTTTAGCGTTTTATAATTGTGTTTTCTTTTGGATACTACCATAGTTTTCTACGTCTTTATTAGTAATAAAATAAGGTTAAATAATATATGATATAATATAGTATATGTCGTAAGTTTAAAAGACATAATAACCAAGAAAAGAAAACAGTTTTTATATGCAACTTTGTTTTTAAAGTGTTGTGTTTTTTTCACATTGCGGTTAATTAAAATGATTTGATAACAAAATACATACAACTAACCAAATATTATAATTCTAATAATATTACAAGAATTAATTATTAACAACAACTTTTTTTAATTAAAAAAGTAGATGGTATTTTATTCGTGTATCTAAACTATACATCCATAAATTGTAATAAACACAATTCACAATTCCTAATAAACTGTTTTTATTGGCCGAGTATCTGTTTACTAATTAAATTAACCACGAATCATTTACTTGTTAAATTTAGTGAGGTTTGTGTTTTGTCATGTATTGCGGTTACCTGTGTTTTTTGATAGTCTTTCGTTTTATATATTTTGCGTCTATTATTTCCTCGACGGTCTTTTAGAGTTTTTTATTACTTAAGAAAACTATCTTCTATTTTTTTAAAGCACAGAAGTGGTGATTTTTTATAATTAATCATAGTAATATTACTAAAATTATAAGTATTTGCTTTGGTGTATGTATTTTGTAACTAAATAATTCTTGTTAGTGGCTACCTATGTTTTATAGATTAACATTTAATAAAAAATCATACAAAAGAATAGGAATAAAAGAAAAAGACAAATACTGGATAAGAAAAAGGAAAAAAGTTAAAATACTAAAAACCGAAAAACTCAGTAAACGGAATGATAGTACGACTTAGGTGATCAACTTAATTGCTGAACAGTATTATAAAAATTCTTTTCGCAATCGAATGGTACTATTCAGGTTAAAAAACTTTTAAAATTTTTCAAGTTTTATCTAGAGCCTATCGAAGGTCGCTATCTCAAAGTTTTGTAATAATAGTTCAAAAGGACCGAAAAATTTGAGGCCCACTGCAACTGTGACCAAATTCAATCAAGGTATATAAACCAAAAAGTTAGATACCGCCATTCGGTCTTAGTTATATGCAGAATTTAATGCGAGTTTGTCATATACTAATAACAATATTATAATATAATTGGGCTTAAACTATTGTTAGAAACTCTTTTAGCTTTAAATTTTGTCGTAAGGTCTAAAGCAGTTCTTTTACTTACCTAATTATTTATGCCAGTTCCTATAGGATGAACTTTGAGGGTAAATTCTTGATTTTTTTTTAGCTAAGGCTAAAACATAAAGTAAAATATCAGGTGCAAATTTTAAACTGTTGTATGTGAAATCTAATCTTTTTAACTTTATTCAGGATGAACCAAAAATATTACTTACTTTAAAAATGCTTATAGACTTATATCCTTTGAAGACAATAACTTTAACTAAAAAAAAAATTAGATTTTGGTAACAAAGAATAAACTCATAATGTACCAATTTTTTAACTTTATGATTTAAGCACTTATAGAAATAAGGTTTTGTTATTTATTTGTTGTGTAGAGATTTTTTTAGCAATATTAAAGCGAATAAGTAATTTAAATAGTTTATTTAACTGATTAATATGAAACAATATAGGATTTTTTTAGCAGTTTATACCGTTCCAAAAAATTTTTACAGTATATGCACTTAAATGCTTTTGTTATGTGCGCTCCTGACTTAAAATTAAAGTTCATAAGTTCCTTTAAGCAATTTACCGACTAAACTACTGCATCTTTGCTGAATATTTTCTATTTTCAGCACATAACCGAACCTTTTTTTTTTTTTAGTAAATTCCATGTACTAAGTAGTAAACTCGAAATAGATTTTCCACTAGGCTTGAAAGAAAAACTATTTAGTAGGTTAAACACGTCAGGTAACTATATAGGGATTATCATTGTAATACGACGCCTGAAAGTCTTGGGACTTGCTCACAGATGCGTCACTTAAAAAATAGATCCGTTACCGTTCTCCCGTACTATAAATTTTCAGATGATACGTTTAAAAATTTGATGACATTCCATAAAATGAAATTTTAGCTACTTAACCTTTGTTATTTTTAATATAATTGAAGAGAGAACGAATTCATGTATTAATTAAGCACTGTTTATTACAAGGAAAAATATCCTTTAATCTCGGCGATGGCTTAAAAAGTGTTATAAGGAATCTCTTTCGTCGAAAAAACGATATGTCGATGAACTACCAAAGATGCAAAGTCTACCGGAAAGGTGTAACCTCCATATTTTGGAATGCTCATGTATAATATTCTTCGAGTACTTGAAAAAGGGAAAACTATGAATAGAAAATAGTATATAATATATTGGTTCGGTTGAGGAAGGAAATTACATAAAAAACGGAATTAAATAGCGAAAAAAGAGTACTTTTTCTTCAGGACACTGCACCGTGTCACAAATCGATGGTTAAGATGACAAATTGCTTGACTGAAGTTTGGTTCAATTCCGCGCCCACCGTACCCTCCAGATCTGCCCTCCAGCTACTATTATTTCTTTGTAAACCTTTAAAAATGCACCAGGAAAGAGCTTTAAGTCATAGGAAGAAGTTCATCTCCGAAGCAGAGACCTATTTGAAGGCAAAAACAATTGGTTCTATAAAAAAAGGGTAGAAATGTTGGGAAAGAGTTGGATTGGTTTATAGCTCCTGAAGGAGGCTATACTGGAATATAAGGTTAAATTCTACAAAAAAAAATATAATTCTTTAAAGTTATTCCTGGGACTTGGTTTAAAGTATTTATGAATTAACTGGAGGTTGCGGTTTGAAAATCCACTGATACGGCTTGAGTCGCGTATTAACTCCGTCCATATAAATTTCGCCCTTCTATATTTTAGTACCTTCCAAGCTTAGTATGGGCTCGGTCAAGCTCGATTTGGATAATTGTTCAAGATGACTATTTTGGGGTATTCTACTTGAGATGAATGGGGCCTAAGTGACCAACGTTTCTAGCTACTGTTAGTTATATTTCACTAACTGCATATATAGCATTCTGGAATATAAATATGCTTCACGGAATTAAACGTGCCGTTGGAGTGCATAAAGCCTCAAACCAACTTTCCGATTCCGAATTTGATGGTAGGCAATATAACGACTGCGTTTGACTTATTGCACAGAGGCTACAGCCACTAAATATTTTGTTAATTCCAAAATATTTAACTTGGTATATTATTTTTTCTACTGAAAACATAGCCTTAGAAAAAGATCTAAAGCCCATGATAAAACAAGTGGCAAAAGTTCTTAATGTTCTAGAAGAAAGCGGAAAGGTGTGGGACGAACTTAAAAAGTAACATCGAATTTATGTTTGTTAATTCATAAACAATAATTAAAGAAGTTGACTAATTCTAAATATTTCTTTGTATGTACGTTTTCCAGAAATGTAAGCGTGCTTGCTAGCGCTTCCACAATTTGCCCATCTGATTCTTGGGTTAAAGAACTTACTCAGCCGGTTTTTCAAGAAAATTCGTGGCAGGCGGTTACTATTAACTCTCATCGCTTAATATGTAGCTTATTTTCTTTCATAAGGATCCTTCCTTTAAGGATTCAGCGATTAAGTTTCTTCGGGATCTGAGATCTCTCATGTCTCATACGGAAGATGAGGTCGGACGCTCAACCTTATAACACTATTTTACGAGTATATGTGAATTTTATATTCTAGATAGAAAAAAGAAATAACATTTTAAAAGAAGTTAATTACTATCGAGGCAAAGTCGATGAGTTAAAGAAGAGTTCCAAGCCAAAAGACCTTGAAAAACTCCCAAAGGCTGAAGATGAACTGGCAAAGCACGAAACAGACTTTGAGCGGTTGAATAATGAGTTAAAGGATCGCCTTAGCTACATCGTTATAATAATTTACTTTCTTTTATTAATATATTATATTTTCCCCTTTAACATCACACCACTATGCATACAAAAGTATGAACTCAAAGAAATAGCTTTTGGGAAGTGCATACTTTCATACTTCGTTTATCAGCTATCCGTTATGGCTTCCTGCCCTTTCCGAGATTCCGTGCAGAAGGCAAAGTTTATTCACAATATTGTCCATAAATTTATTTAGTTGCTTAACAAATTCAAGCGCACGCTCGAGTTCTGTTGTTTACTTAACTTTAAATTCGTTTCTTTTTATTTAACCATATAATTATAGTTTTCAAGTCAAACTGATAATTCTTGGCCAGAAGTATTTTCTAATAAAACTTCAAGACACTCTTCTATTAAATCGCGTTCCCTTTCCAGGGATTCTAGTAAAAAATACGTAAGTTACCTCTAATTAATTCTGAGGTCCGCTCACAGCTGACTTTAATGTATATATAAATATGTTATATAAGGTCAAAGCTCTACACTCTTTCGAGGCTGAAAGTCCGGAAGAATTGGGCTTTAAACACGGTGATGTCATCGAGGTTATAAGGGAAATAGATGAGAATTGGATGGAGGGAACCATGAAGGGACGTAAAGGCATTTTTCCCAAAAATCACGTCGTATAAATAAACTTTTTGATTTTGATCGGCCTGTTTATATGGTTAAGTGATCTTCTCGCCTTGGCACCCAGTCCTCCAGTACGGGTGACCCCACACCCGACACCTGGGCACAATGGACTACCTTGCGTACCTCCCTTTAAGAACGTGGGACTCTTCCTTCTAATCTTAACAACTTAAGTGGATAAAAAGGCATCAACCCACCTACCGTAAGAGAAAAGGAAAAGAAATTTCTAGGCAAAGACTTTATTATGAGGCCACACGACTATACAAAAGCCGGCTTTTTTTATAGTTATCTAGTTGTTCCTAAAGGCGTAAGGTACCCCCCCTCATGATCGTTCTCCTCGTATCCTCCTTGCTAGTTGAATATCCTTCGGCATTATAGTCACCCGTTTGGCGTGAATAGAGCATAGGTTGGTGTCCTCAAAAAGACCCACAAGATAAGCTTCAGTGGCCTCTTGAAGGGCCGAGACGGCAGTGCTTTGGAACCTAAGGTCTGTCTTAAAGTCTTGAGCAATCTCCCTCACCAGCCTTTGAAAAGGGAGTTTGCGGACGAGTAATTCCGTTGACTTTTGAAAGCGCCTAATTTCTCGTAGAGCAACGGTCCCTGGGCGGTACCTGTGAGGCTTTTTAACTCCACCAGTGGCAGGAGCTGACTTCCTGGCAGCCTTAGTAGCTAAGTGTTTCCTTGGAGCCTTTCCGCCCGTAGACTTCCTCGCGGTTTGCTTAGTTCGGGCCATTAGTTTCAAGGGATCTCTACTTCGGGGGGATGAGTGCGAAATATATATACAAAAGTTGAAGGTATCAATTTAGCTAAAAGCTCCTTTTTACTTTTTTTAAAAATGCCAAGAAATCCTAAAATAGAAATATTATAAAGAAATTAATTAGTTAAAATTTGCCCATTTAGCCAGGAAATTTTAAATATATAATAAATTGGTCTCAAAAAAAATAAATAGGGCCTGAATAAACATAAAAATTTCTTTTTTTCTACTTAATTATTGGTTTACAAAATTAAAAATACCCAATTTCATTGGAAGATGAAATCCGAATATTTGATATATAAGCTTCCTATTTCATTACACCTCCGTTGTACCTTTAGAATTTCGTGCGGTGGTAAAAATGTCTGGCAGAGGAAAAAGCGGTAAGGGGAAGGGTGGAAGGACTGGGAAGTCGCAATCTCGTTCCTCACGTGCGGGTCTTCAGTTCCCCGTTGGCAGGATACACCGCCTGCTCAAGAGGGGGAGGTTTGCAGTTCGAATCGGTGGTGCTGCGCCCGTCTACATGGCCGCCGTTCTGGAGTACTTAGCCGCCGAAGTACTGGAGTTGGCTGGAAACGCAGCGCGCGATAATAAGAAAACTCGGATTCTTCCTAGACACATCCTGCTAGCTGTTCGAAACGACGATGAGTTGAACAACGTGTGCAAGAGTTCTACTATCCCCCAGGGCGGTGTAATTCCTAGGATTGAGAGCCGTCTTCTTCCAAATGTTATGAAGAAAAAGAAATCTTCTCAAAGTCAAGAGTTTTAATTTTCTATTTCTAGCTTATATCACGTTATGTATGTAAAGCCTTATGTCTTTGGCTACCATTAATTAATAAACTTTTACCTACTTTGCATTGCTCTATTGCCATTTTGGTTCTAGGTGTAAGGGTGGTGGTTTACTCATTTCGACTTTTGGGAGGTTTAAAAGAAGAAGGGGTCTTATTGCTTGCTAGATGGTTTTGACCCCTGTGGCTGTCGATGGCTGGTAGGTGCGACTTCAAGGCTTTGTGGGAATTCCACATTAGGTTACTTAGGCGCAACAGTGCGGACTGCCTATGTCAGACTTCTCGGGGGTTGCCATCCCTCTCTTCTTTTGGCAGCTCACTTTCTTTCAGTGAGCAGGAAGTCGTTAACTCGAAACCCTGGCCTTCCCGGAGTATCTTAACTGCTGTGGGTTCCACTTTACAGTATGGCTCCAGCCTAGTGGGACGACTTTTTAGACGTCAACCAAGTCAAGTGACTGAGGAAAGCCAGCCACCTAAACCTAGCTTACGCATTCTTAAAACAAAGTACAGGGGTCCGCTACGAAGGACAAACCCCTTGAATTTTTCTCTTTTTGCCAGTTTTTTGGATGAACTTGGCACTATAAAAAATTCTCGTAAGTTGAAATTCTTTATTTTTGCAGGAGGCATTGAACCAGAACTTCGAATAACTTTGTGGCAAGTAAATTTTTTTTCAATATTTATTGTTTTTCAACATCTTTATAAGTTGGCTTTATTGAGTACTTGCTAGGTATCTTCCCTTGGCCAAGTACCCAGGTTGAAAGAGAACAAATTGAAAAGGATAATTTATCTCTTTACGAAACGTTAAGATATCGCGCACAGCTTCTTATTTTAGAAAATAAAGAAAAAGTGGATGTAATTGAAAAGGATGTGATTCGTTGTGACCGGTGCAATGAATTTTTTGCAGGAGAAAATAACGTTAATGTAGATAAGGCACGAAAGATTCTTCTTACCTATTTTCTAGTACTCCGCCAAGATGTCTCTTATACCCAAGGTTTGACCGACTATGTCTCAATAATGCTTTTAGCCACAAAGGGAGATGAGGCTACATCCTTTTGGCTTTTTTTTTTCTTATTAAAATTTATGGGTGTATTTTTCTTTGAATCTAGTGAAAATCAAATGAACAGACAGTTTAATTATTTAATTCAGCTTATTAAAGATTATGACCCCGAGGTATTTGATAGCCTTCAGAAAAAGGGCGCTCAAGATATAATTTTTGTTTACAGGTATTTATCTTTTTTAAAGTATAGAGTTTAATCTTGGTTTTACAATTACATTAATAAAAACTTTTAGATGGTTGCTTCTAAATTTTAAAAGAGAATTTACTCTTTATGAAGCTCTTATTATCTTCGAGGTTATCTGGTCCATGCCAACTGAAGATTATGTGAGTTCCAAGTTGGATCTCGGGCCTAATCCATACAGCCTATTTATTGCTCTTGCCATCGTCAAGATCCATCGAGATGCTATTATCGAACTGGACAGCTCGATTGAAGTTATTATGTACATGAATAATTTATTAGGGAGTTTAGACGTCAACGATGTTTTATGTCAAAGTGAAGAGCTTTTTTGGAATTATGTACGAGGGGAAATCCCCGAAAAAAGGTTAAGATATTGCTAGATTTTGACTGCTCGTAACTGTATTGTATATAAATTTAACATATAATACAAGGGCAATATTTTAAGCCTTCCTCATATATTTCTAAATCCGTATTAAGAAAAACTCCAAGTTTATAAAATTTAAAAAGAACTTCTAATTATCAATAAAAACTACTTTATATAACAGAGTTTCTTAAAGTTAAATTTTAAGAAATATAATTTTATTTAACAACAATTTTCACTTTTATAGTCTTCTTTTTTTTGTCAACAAAATATATTTTGATAGTTATCAAATAACTCTTATTTTTTTGAAGAAAAGTCTCCATCCAAATAAAAGGAGATGCCATGATTCCTTAGAAAATTAATTTACAAACTTATGAAGTTAAGGTTGCTTCACTTGGAAGTCACACAGATAAATATATAAAAGAGGGTTACATCAAAGCGCAACGAAAATTGGGCAAAGTTTCAGCGAACGAAGTAGTCCAAATAACACTTCTAATATTACCACCGAAAGGGATCTAAAATTACAAACGAACTGACAAGTTAAAGTTTATAATAAGTAAAAATTACTGTTGTACAGGTTCTATAACACCAAAGTTTTAAAAAAACTTGGAAAAACGATTTTTTATGCAAGCAAATTCAATACTTTTGTGGCTTTAAAGTATAAAAAAGGAAAATATATTAACAAACATCTTTACTCCAAACAATTATGAAACGTTTTATAGTAGCATCATTTATGCTTAATTTTTAAGTCGTATAAACCATAACAAGAAAAACCTACACAACATAACAATAAAGGGGTCGGAGAGCGGCAAAGGGTCTGAAGTACCGGCCCTGAAAATCCTTTCGAACTCGCAATAACTCCGATAACAGGACTTGACTTCTTGAGAGTAGCTCCTAACATAAATCAAAATAAAAATTGCTTTAAAAGAGATTATATTTATGTATCTTCTTTTGAGTTTTAACATCTACCTTCAAATTCTCGAAACCAAGAGATGGCATAACGATTCTTAGTGTATTTACAGTTAACTAGAAATAATAAATCTTTGGAAACTATAGGAGAGTTATTGAGTAAGCATGGATTCTTCCAGCTCCCACTAAATGCAAAGCCATCGGAAGAAGTATAAGGGTTCCCCCATAAAGCAAAACCCTGCTCCTCCAACACAGATCGAACGTGTCCCGCATATCTTTTATAGAGTAAATAGAAAACAGTGACAAGCTATAGTTGGCCACATGTTTTGTTAACAATTGTTTTTCGACGTTTCTATATGAAAAAATTTGGACTAACGTCGCTTTCAAGGAATTGGAACAAATCTTTCTGGTAAAATTGAGTAATTGCTGGCCAACTAAAGCCCCAATACTTTCTACTTTAGAAAGAATCATAACTTGACTTTTTCTGCCTCTAAATTTTATTAAGTAACAATTGATATATTAGTATTATTATGCAGTACTTTTTGAAAAAAATTTAAAAAAAAAATGATAAATATATTTAAATAGAATTCTGTTGCTCGAATACACACTAGAAATATTAAATAACAAAGTTACTGCGTTTATACGGCACGTATAATACTGAAAGTTAAAAAGTGGGCCCATATTTTATCTTAGTTGAATAAGGTTGATTACTTTTAATTTGTATTAAACTTACGCTAAATATAGGAAAAAAAGGCCATTTTTATATAACTTCTAGGGAAAAACCATAAAGGAACTTACTATAACATGAATACTAGATAACAATTAATCTTAAGCTAGATAACAACAATAAAGTAATACACTAGTTGAAGTACAAATTTAAAAAAGAATAACTTTGTCAAAAAAAAAAAGGTAAATAAAACCAGTTTAAAGGTTATTATAATATTTTTAAAATTAAAAGAATAACCGAGTTAAATTACAAGCATTTATAAATACGATAACAGCAATGACGGTAACCTTACGGGTTTGTTTTAGAAGGCCGTGTACAACCGATTTTTAGCAATTTTTTATCTGACAAAAGGGTTTCAGAACAAAAATGTGAAGTACCTACGCGCGGGCCCAAACATCTTACTGAGTGTTTAAAAAGGACTCACCATTTTTTACTAGCTGAAGTACGGTATAGACATGGAATAAAAAAAGGATTATGTGTTAAGCCCAGGAACAGCTTTTTTTGTTCAACGGGGATGTTATCTTTAAGTGGTTAAAAAGTTAGTTGATAGCACTACTTTTGCTTGTTACATATATTCTAATGTGGACAATACTAATCTTGAATGTGGCCTAATTACAGAACGAATTATGGAAGTATAAAGTATAAAGTCTAACTTTTTTAAAAGAAGACGTCACGAAGACGAGTAACTACGATGAGCCAAAATTCGGAAAGTTTTTTCACCACATCAACTAGGCGTGCTAAAAAAGTTAACGTTTTAGAATAATTCATTGCCCAAAAATAGTAGATATTTACTGAAGAAAATAATATGTTTCCTGAGTATTTTCTAACAATTTAAAGATTATCAGCTTATTAAATGTAGTGTAATATGTTTTTTTAGATATATGTATAATTAATAACTAACTACTTTACATAAGGCGAACTTATATATGTTTCTTAATAGGAGGTCGGAGTTATTATGGTAATTTTAACTGAGTTAGATTACTTTGAAAGTATACGTACATACCAAGGGCTTGCAGGATATTAGACAACCTTGGTTTGCTAAAGACATTTATAGTTATATTGATATTTAAACCAAAAGACGGTAATTTGCAAAGAATGATAGACTCTACTTTGGTATCGATAAGTACAAAGCTGAGCGAGTTATTCAGTTTCGTTATTTTCTGTCGTCGGGGCAGGTAAGCAACTTTGATTTGATTCCCCTTCCTAAAAGCAATTATTTAATGAAGTAAAAGACCTTTGTATGACATAACAGCAATATTATTAAAAGACACTTAAGGGGAAGAAGTTAAAATGGTTCAGTATGAACTAAATCAATTATAAATATATAACTATAAATTATTAAAATATAAATTATTAATTATTAAAATATAAAATATAAATTATAAATTATAATTATTATTTCTTTGAGCGTCGGTGACATTATCGTAAGCGAAATGATTATATCAACTTTAGTATAAAAAGTTAAGCTGATGAGTTTATTAACTTAAGCTATGTTGAATATCTTAACAAAGGGAGGACGCTTCCCAGGGTTTTAGTTAAGGCTACTAGATAGGAAGATGGAGAAAACAGGGTTGCTTAAGAGAAGTAACAATTCCAACGCCAGAACTATGTGTTTTTTTATATAAAGTTCAGTAAATCAAAGATAATCTTGACTGAGTAGAGTTCAATTAGGGATATACACGAACTCCGATCTGGAAACTTTTGTATGTTATAAAAATTCTGTTGTAATATTAGCTTAATAATCCTTTCATGAACTCTAGCAGCCAGAGTACTAGTGATAAAACCTTAGATATTACTGGTAAATATGTGTCGTGATAGACTGCCCTGGTTTTTTTTTAAAATCCTCTAGCGGTCACCTTTGTTCTATATAAGTTGTTTCTTTATTGTGTAGTCTCCAAGTAGTAGCTATAAAAATTTCTAGTAAATTTTTTTTGGAAGCTTTTATGTAAATTCCTCTACGTTTTGTTTTTTTTTTACAGTTTTCCTTGGTGAAATTTTAATAATAGTTTGTGTTTGATCGTTACTAAAAAATGGGAGGTCGTAGTAGTTTCTTGCGTAATGCTTAAAACCTTCTGTTTTATAGTACATTGAATCCTTGTGTATACGATATCACTTTTTATATGGTTTTTGTTATATGGAAAGTTGTCTTTAGATAATGTAACTATTTTTGGTTTATTCATCTGAAAAGTCTAAAATTTAATAGTTATACCTTTAATCACCCAATCTGATTATTTTTAAATGTTCAAAGTTACATATGAATACGCTAACATCTCGTCAGGTGTTTGTATTTCATTATCCTTAGGAAGGTTGATGGTAAGAAATACTGCACCTCGAATGGCCTCCCTCTAGTATATTCCTGGAAGACTTGATGGTATAAAGATCATGCGTACACAAAATGCTCCTTCCTCTGGTGTGTACTGTATTGAGGTGTGTTTTTGGCACGGTGCTTAGTATTACTCCTTCCTAAAGAGTTTCGCTTTAGTATTAGATTTCTTTGTCTTTTGGTAGTTTCTTTAATGAGCATTTTTTGTGTTGTAACGCTTGTAATCTGTTTTAGAGTACCTCCTGTGTCTTTTGAATAATGTTGCATATGTTCCAACGGTGGTGTACCTGTATTCCTCCTAGGTTATATTCCATTATGTCAATGTAAAAGGATTTCCCAGGTTTTTAGCTTCCGTGAGACTTACTGATTTTGTTGATAGCCTTCTTACGCTTGTGATGGGATTTATTCGTTAAAAAAAAGTTTTTTATATTTACTATGCCCCTTTGGGAGCAGTTAGCTCAATGACTGTGTGGTGAATAGACCAACTCTCTTCTTGACTTTGCATATAATGTTATTTTTTATACGGTATATTCACGTCTGCCTAGCTTTTATCGAGAGTTAAGTATAATTCTACCTTTATCTAATATTAATATACTATCGTTCAAAAATGCGTCACTGATTTGCATTTTTTCATTTATTATAGAACAAATTTTCTATTAACGTAATGTGTTACTTAAAAATTTATCCGCAGTAAACTTCTATGTTCTAGCTACATTTTATAAATATTTGATCTTAAATTGGTTTAATATTCGAAAAGATATGAGCTTGTAAAGATGAGAATTATGAAACAATTTTGCACGTAGAAAAAATTAATTTAGTAAACGAGGTTTTAATAATTAGTATAGGTGCTGCTTGTAGCTTTGATCTGATGTTATATTCTCCCATTTTCTGGTTGTACACGCCCCTAAAACCCGTCCAAGTTAGCAGGAGTTGTTTGGTGAGATCTTAATTTTCTCTGCAAGAATCCCAATGCATGCTCAATAGGATTGAGATCAGGAGATTGTGCAGTTCAGCACTTAAAACGACTATAATTGAAGTCATGCTCGCATCGATTATGCAGTGCGGCAAGGGGTACTATCCTGCTAAAAAACCACTTCATCATGATCAAGTCTACCAATTGCATGTTTTGGGTAGGTCATCCTTAATAATGTCTAAATACGTGCTTGTTGTGATAGCCCCGTAACTTTTTTTTTTAAATCTGATCCCCTTAGATATTTATTTATAATGGATCCTACTTAATGTTTATACGTTGCACCACCTGGTGGCCAAGTACTTAAGCTAGATCGCTTCTAACACCACTTAATACCATCTGAATTATACTGATTGATCTCGGTCAGGAATGGGCCAATTTTCGTACTTTTTCGCAAACTCAAACCTTAGTCGCTTGTGACGGTCTGTTAAAGCGGGTTTAATTAACTTTTTTTTTTTTTGTGGAGACCAGTAGATTGCATTGCTCTCGTTACGGTCGACCTTAAAATTGGTCTATCTAATGTTGTTTCTATGATTTTTGAAGATCCCGTGAGATTTAATTGCACTCGATGTTGTCGTTCAAGTCGACCTACATCCCGGTTTTTTTAAGACCTTTGGATGCCCAGGTTCATTGCAAGGACGATTTGGGTTCATATTGAGCTTTAATTTGGGATATGTTATGGTCTTACTGACACCATATCCACGAGAGATATCAGCATAAGGTTTGCCTTGATCTAAAAGGCACTTTAAATTTTTTTTCATGATGGAGTATCATGAAAACCTGTATAAAGATTGAAATAATTTTGCACGAAGGGAAGCCTCATGCAAATTCGTTTTAATCGATACTCAAACGTTGTAAGGAAGCAAACCCAATAATACAAACTACGTTAAATAGGTCTTAATCTAAACTTTTATTTATATAAGGGATCAATATAACCAACTATTAATTAAAGCGTTATAAACTTTTTACGAAAAATTTTGAAACATAGAAACAATTTCTGTCGTTAGTGTAAATTCTCAAAGTGGGTAAGCTTCAAATTATCGTTTATTCTATGACTTTGTTGCTTTTTAAGTCACTTTAGTTAGAGTCGTCTATTATTCGCATAGTGAGGTTTGTACAGTGGTGTCCAAGATTAGTTAATAGTTCTCCCGTTATAAATGTCATAGCTAATGTTTTGATGAAAGTTACTTATATACTGCTTTTTTAATGTCATCATCATTGCCTCATTGTAAGACTGAGTCGGCGAGGTATTCATTTCTTTTTTATAGGTGAAGCCAGGCAAAATACTTTTAGCTTTCGCTATGTATATTTCATTTTTATTACAGCAATTTTATTGTAGCGTATACTATCAATGTATAATCCTCATTCCTTGCAACCTATAATGTGAGCTCGGATTTGGATATTTCGGTTTCCTGAATTTTGGCATTTGGAAATAAGAAATTATTGTTAAATACTCGGCTGTAATTGGTCTAGTTGTTTTTAAGTAGGTTCTTTAACCTTTTACGGGCAAAGCTCAAAAGCTTAAAATAGATTTGTGTTTTTTTTTGCGAAATGACTCCCTATGTTGAAATCATACTTTCAAAATTTGATTCTATAAATCCCAATTTAATATTTTAAAATAAAGCAGTAAAAAAAATGTTTATTTACCTATCTAACCCAATATAAACTTCTCACATCAGAATATCACTTTTTTTTTGTCCAATAAAAAGAGCGCGCGACACATGATTAACTCAACGTTCACTGGTAACTAAATTTACCATTTTTTTGAGGTAAAGATCATTACGAGCTACGAATTCAAGATTGTTCACGACATTGTGTGGGAGTATGGAGGCACATCACCAACATTACTTCATTCAGAAGTGAGATAATTAAAGGAGGAGTTTTAGCAGGTTTGTTTAAACTGAGAGAAGAAGTTAATCAATTTCTGTAAGAATGAAAATCTGGTCTACTAAAGCATTTGCTGAATGAAGGATGGGTAATAAAGCTAGCTTCTAAGGCGGACTTAATTTTTTCTAACGAACTTAATATTTCTTTTCAGGAGCTTGTGCCAATATTTTTACATTTATAATTAAATTTAATGCCCTTATAGAATGCTGACCTCTTGGGATAGTCGCTTACAAAAGAAAGACAGAAATGTTTCTGTAAGGATTTGAAATCTTAATAAATAATTTCATGTCACCTTTAGTTGGACGTCCAACTTTTTGGCGCGGTGGGAAATCTAACTACTTTACATTTAAAAAATTTCAAAAGAACGCTGATATTATATTCAACATAATAGGTCAACATATTAAAGCGTTAGCTAAAACTTTAATAATTACTTTTATAATACGAAGATCCTTGTAAGGAAACCTATGAATTAATAATTTCTTTTATGATGTAATTAACATGCGCACTTGATTCCCATGAAAAAGGAAAGCTACTCAAGTTGTCTTCTGATGTCACTCTGGTGCCCAGAAATGAATTGCAATCATTGTCTCAATTTTAAACAAGCCTCAATAATGAATAAGCTACTAAATTTTCGGTTTTTTTTTTGACTTCCTTTTTATGTAAGAAGTCTTTTTCAGCTATTCAGTAATAAAAACTAAGCAGAGAAATTGATGGATATTTATACAGCCCTTCGTCTCTAAAACAACGCTGCAACCACGTATATCACAGTGGCTTACAAAGAAGAAACAGCAATTTTATTATATTACACAATAAATAAATACTGTAAATAATACTTTTACTTCTGACAAATGCCGACCCCGTGAAATATGTTTTCTCTCTTCGCTAGTGTGAAAAGGTTTCGTCTGGCTCAACGTGACTGAGGCGTAGCTAAATTGTCCGACGGTACTGTCACACAACACTATCGCTTCTTTAACTTTAAAAGGTGGGAGGCAGTGTTTCAGCTTGACCACAAGCAAGTTGCTTGGCGCCCGAGTCAAATACTTAAGAAATAATACTTAAAAGGATGTAAAGCAACGAAAATTTTGTGTGCTAGCATCATGGCGCCTAACGTAGCAGGTTAAAAACGTAAATTCGTTAAGCATCTACTTGTAAACCCACTCCTACTGTTTTCTTATACGACTTTTGAGGGTTGCATGTAGATATATCCTATATATAAAAAGACAGAGAAACAGGACTACTTTATTCCCTGTTTGATGAAATTAAATTTATACCTTTACAGAAAGTGAAATATTACAATCTTTTTATAAATAAAAATTTAGTCGTTAATTTATAATATAATACCTGAATAACGATAAAAAATTCAATAAAAAATAACCATTGTAACAAGTTTTTAATTATTAAAAAGTAAAATTATGGCTAATAACTTTTTATACTGTGAATGCCCTGTTGTGTTTATTAGTAAACTTTAGGCTATTAGCTTGTGGTCCATCAGTATTGATACTTCAATATATACGAGCCGTTGTAGGTATACTTTTTCATTGCTATCTTTTTAGTTTAGTAGTGTTGATAAGTTATTAACGAAATTTTGATCTTTTATATTGTTTTCGTTTATAAATTTTTTCAGTTCGTAATTTTAATTTTTTTGTTAGTTATTAAATTCAGTATTTTATATTTGTCTTCCTTAGAGTCAAATGCTTTTTTTGTTGAACAGAGTCATGGGTTAGTGCGCTGCAACCCAAATGTTTTTATGCTTCATATTGGGCCGCTTTTGGTTTAAAGTTTCTAATTTGCATCAAAGTCCTATAGATAAAGTTATGTAAAATTTTTGTCGATTCACAAGTATTAGAGATTTTCTTTTTTAAATAGTAGTCTTTCCTTGAGAGTATGTTGTGGAACTGCTTCGCTTTTGATCCTTCTTATATAGTCCATTTAATAAGGTGTGCAGTTTATGCAATCCATTTGTAAAGGGTTGTATATTCATAATATACCCGTTTAAATTTTTTGTAAAGATTAGGTTCGTTATAGTTAATGCGTTGAAGATTAATGTGTATAGAACATTTATATTCTTGGTTTTGCATATAATGTTATTATTTATTCGTTATATTCACTTTCGACCAGCCTTTCTACTTAGATTATGCTTTTATCTATACAGTTAAATTACCTAAGTGGTTGGCTAAAAATTATCATTGACTGTATTAGATATGTTACACTAAGTTAGAAGTCGTTCTTTGTTTTGCACAACTTTACAGTAATCCTGCCAAAATTGCTCTCATTGGAGAGTTGCATATGGTGGTGGTTAAGATATTTAATTTCCAATGTCTAGTAATCTGTAATATATACAGCTTTTGTTTAAGTTTGTGTAAATGTTTGATTCAAAACAACCTACATTTTTGGTTTTTTTTCTTACGTGTGACTGATATGATAAATTCTTATTTGCTTCTGTATTATTGCTGTCGTGGGATTTTGTTTGTTTGTTTATTGTTTCTATACAGACTGTCTTTGACTATAAGTGATGCCCCATTATATTTTTACTCAGTTCTAAACGCCTTAGGTAAAGCATTGCTTGGAGTATAGTCGCTATTATCGGTAATGCTCCATTTATATAGTCTTCTTTGCAGAGCTGCTAAACCCGGTAAGACTTTTTTTTACGTACTGTTGTATCATTTTTACAGGTCAGACATAATTATCTAATTTTCTTCCATAGGTTGGAGGTGAGACGGTTTTGAATACCCCGCAAGCAGTCTTCATAGTCTCTTTTAACATTTGGGTGTATATGCTGTCACAGGCAATTTAAAACCTCTTTGATACCTATGATGACCATGGTTTTATGAACTTAATTTGTTCAGTTCACTGTTGGAGTTGGCTTCGTTGGGAGTGGCGAGGTATATATATAATATTAGTAAACAATACAATTTAGTGCCTGCTGCTACCAATCGAGACTAAAGCGCCGGTAGATACAACAAGCACTAATACCAAGAGAACCTGTTATAGTTTATGTAGCATCCTCGGAAAGTAGGAAAAGTGATGTTCAGACACCACTCATTAGGAAGTTCTTTCTATGGTAGCGGTCGTCTTTGCTACTAGCTTTCAACTAATAGTAGTGTACTACCTAACTTAACTGTTATTGTTAACCTATTTGATAGTATCAAAGTGGATTTCAACAGCTCTGCCTTCGCGTCGCATAAAGATGTTACGTATAAGCAAGCAGTGCTAGTATTCAACGCGAAGCCTCGAAGCATCAAAGACACTTCTAATACAAAATAGTCAGTCTTTGGCACTACACAATTCTAGTCGCACGCATGAAGGCACTAGGCTCAAGGCATGATGGAGTGGTAACGGACATGCCAAAACACTGGTAAGATAAAACCTGCTACAGGACTAATTCAACTGTTGCCTTTTGCCAGTTTTAAGAGCAATTCTTTCGAACCGGACGTAATACCACTTAGAACTCTCCGGAGGAAAACATGTCTCTCAGCTCAGAGCTCGCATCAGGAAGGTACCATAGTCACGCTTCATTGGTTTGAACATTTTAATAAGTCCAAGTATCAAATCCGATACTAGCCTGTTTGGTCTGAATTAAATGAAAATTTAACCCTGCAGAGGACTTTCTGGATGGTTATTGCCACGCCTTTGAAAAGTAGAGGACATGATCCGACACAAGATGAATTTAATTGCATGTTAACCTCCGTCTCCGGATGGCAACTTTTTGAGGCCCGTCCGATCGAAACCATCAGGGCCCCGCCAGGACTAAGGCGTCCGCTGAAGCGAATTTTATATATAGGCACGATCTTTTTCGTGCGTTTTTACGAACATGTTCCTGGGGGCGTAACAGCAATCCTTACGACATGAAGAAGGTACTAAACTTGACGAAGAATCAAAAGATTTGGTCCAACGTCCAGGGCATAAAAAGCGTTAAAGGTACCCATTAAATAGCTAACCTAAGCAGTTGCCAATGTGTTTCCTATCAAGCCACAAAGGGCTAACCTGCAGTCGCAGCCGTTTAGGATGCGTTGCACTTCCCGCGCAAAGAGTTAAGATAAAAATTGTGAAGTAGGGGCACAGGACGTGCAACAACATCAAGACAAGAGAACAAGTCTCTTATCATTTATACGGTGTTTTTAAGAACCTTAATTATAGAAAATTACCAGAAAAAGGTCAATAAAAGTGCTTCTACCAATAGAAACTAAAGATAAAAGGATAGTAAAATTTTGCATTATTTAAGGTAGAAGCACTAAAGGAAGTAAAACGATGTTAAGAACCGACTTGTTTTAAAACAAATTTACGTAACATGTACAAGGAACCATCAAGACTAAGGTACCTTCTTAAAAGCATACAAGAATGAAGGCATAGCTATAATGGGTCCAGGTAGTTTGATATAATCGTCTAGAGTTGTTTAGTCTTTGATAATAGTTTTTATTTTTGGAACCTTAAAAGAAGGGTTTATAACCAGTAAAACTTGAGTTTACGCTAAGCTTGGAACTTAAATAAGGATAGCTTAAAGTGAGTTTATATTAACCCAAGGTTAAAAAGACCAGCCAACAAGTTCACAGGGCTATTTACCTTTATATTTTCTTCCCATAATAGAGTGTAACCATTATATAGTAAGCTACTTGTTATAAATTAAGCTTTCCTTGTTTCTCTAGTAGGGCTAGGTAATTGTTCATGAATAAAGTTAGCTCGAAAGGACCTCTACCAATGCTACAATTAATTCATATAGCGTTGAACTTGTTTAAGATACTACATCCAAGTATTAAGGCCAGGGCGCCTGAGAGTCGATCGTCAGTCTAACTCTAAATCTGTTATTAATTTTAGATCCTATTATTGTTTAGTTTAGTAAATTTAATTCTTAAATAAGATGTTTTTGTAAACAGGATTTATCAATTTATCCTAAAATAACACATTTACCCATAAATCAAACCTCCTTACTTTAGCTAGTCAATGACACTATCAACTTGAGTTGATTATTGCATCAACTTAACCAACTAACTAAATGCAAATAAATCTGTTAGAGGTAGCAATCCATGTGTATATATACAAATAGAAAGCTAAATAATTCACAACTCCAATGGACTTGACTAAAGTTAGAGATCACTGTCCAGATTTATCAACCAATCGTTAATGCTTTAAAATAAGCACGAGATCACTACAAAAGGCTAAATAAATTAGCAGGGCCTCGGTGGTAACTATGGTTAACATGATAAAACCAAGACTACTTCCTAGTTTAAGGTCACTAATTTCTGCCTACTCGATTAAAGGCAGTTTGAAGCAGTTTCTTTCCGCTTGGAATAGTATAAAAGTTTCTACTTTGGGAGAACACTAAGCTAACGACCACTCTATAAATGATAATTAGATCATTCTACCAAAGTAGTACGAAAAAATAATCAGAGCAACGTTTCAACTATCACAGAAGTAACACCATTTTGAACAGTTCTAGAAGTTCTCAGTAATTGAATTTATATATAGTTGTTAAGCATCTAATCCACGACCTTCCGTTTACGCCTTAATTGCTGAGATAAACATCAGCGCTCGAAATCGCTAAGGCGATTTACATATATAATTTGCTACAACCCTCAGGGAAGAAAGGGAATTTCGTACGGTCGTAATAAATTTATTCACCTTAAGATTTTGATTGCGGAGTCAATGAACTTTCATTGGATTATTTTACCCTTTTTATATAATATATAGCAGATTCTTGGGCTCAGTCTTTTTGCAAAGTGGCAAACTTTACAGCTATACTTAAAGCATCACTATTACATGAACTTTCTCTTCCTATTAAGGTTATTGATACTAGGAGTGCGTAATAGCGTGGCCCTTGCAACCACAACAACCACGCGTATCTCCTTGGCTGCCTACTGAAATATCTAAATAGACCTTTTCTTTTACGCAGACCGTTCTAGCTTGGACTTTACTAAAAAAAACCTTGAGGAAAAATTGATGCTGGACCGTCTCCAAGGGCCAATAAGGAAAAAAATAAACGCCCTTTACAATAACCCTTAAATAGGGAATTTTAGAAACCGCTTTTACACGCTATCTTCATAATAAAAAAAACTTGTTAGTAGCTGAAAGCAAAAATTAGCGTCAATCTTCTGCTTAATACTTGCGTTTAATTTAGGTTGAAGACAAAAGCGAGACTTCCCACGACTCTTTAACTGATGTTTACGAACTTACTAAGTGGCGCGGAACCGATAAACTCACTGTTGCTATAAAGAATTTAGCGAATAACTATAAAGCTAGTGTAAAATTCTGCAATGTAGCTTACTCCTTTTTACCACGATAGCAAAAGCTACTATTATAACGCTACCTAGAATCTCCGCGGTTTGCACAGACCAGAGCAATTAACTCAGGGAACTCGTTGAGGCCGCTCTGCTACTCTTGCTTGAAGAATTTGTGGAAACAGGAGAAGGATCACTGAACGACACATTCTTTTCGCTTCGTTGAGTAGAAAACGCGGAGCTACAATTTTAAAAAGGCCACGGGCGTAGCCATTTTTATATTTTAGCCTTCAACCCAAATTACACGTATCAAGCATTTCGTCAGCCCTTTCAATACAGGAATACCTCCTTTCTGCGCATATGGGCGCTGCTCTGCTCTCAATTCGCCAATTTACAGCCTTTGTTCCTAAAAGCTTTCCACTATCATCTCTTCACGCTGTATTAATGGGAGACCCGAACCCTTGTTAATTGGCACTCTACTACAATTACACTGGCCATTGGCGAGTGTGACCCCCGCTGAGAAAAGCAGTGCTCTTTTTATTCAAGAAGACGTACAGCGGCTCTCCCATTTCTGATCCCATGAAGGAGTTAATATTATATGGGACTCTAATTTAGTTACTATTGCCGAGGTGCAAGCAACTGTCGAAGCACCTCCTAAACGAAAAGCGCTTGTCCCCGATGGCATCATTAATGAGATCTGAAGAAAATCCCGTTAATGGGGATGCACTATCTCTACCTCTTTATAAAATCTTAGTTGCTTCTTGGAGTTTTTCCGATTCGATGGAATACGGCGACCTTTGTGATGCTACTAAAAACACTTAAACCAGAATCAGCATCTACAGCGCTATCTTAACGCGCTTACTGACAGGTACCATAATTGGAAGGTTATTATAAATGCGATGAAGAGTAAAGCTATATTAATTTCTAAAAAACGTGTCCCTTTTTATTGGTGCCCTTATGATTCCAAGGTATTCTCAAGTGAAATACTTGGGAATCATAATCAACAACAAATTTCCCGGAGGCCTCACGTAGACTATGTATAAGCGAAGGTCAAGGCAGCAACCAGGGGGCTTTATTCTTACTTTGCGGTAAGAGTACGCTTTCCCTGCGAAATAAACGGCAATTGTATTTGCCTTACATCCAGCCAATAATCACATGTGCGTCTGCAGCTTGGGCTACGTCTCCACTGCGATAGCGTCGGCTCTTCAAGGGCGACAGAACTAATTGCTGCATGTTCTGACGAAGGCGGTGTGGTTTATGCGAAATGAGGTTTTTCAGCGGACCTTCAATAATTGTCTTCCAACACCATGCCGTGGTCCTTTACGACAGGCTCACCAGGCACACTAATCGCCTGCTGGGGAGCGAACTTATATGCGAGCCATGGGACGGGGCTCATTATCACCGCCCACGTGACGCGCTTGAGCGCCAGTTTTTTTTTTTTTGATAGCGTAAAAAAATAATGGCTCCCTGGACTATTTGGAATATATCTGTGATCACTCCTAATTGAGGGCTCGAGTATTCGAAGTTTTTAACTCGAACAATCACCAGGAACTGTCAGTTTATAAATAAATAAATAGTGGAAAGACTCGCAGAAACTGTTTACGGACTACAAGACATTAAAGTTATAAATATAGTTTATTGATTTAAGGGTTTTAGAATAGCCACAAATTAACGCACATTGAGCAGCTGCAAAGTGGGTGAACAAGCAATCGACCTCTATCTTAAGTACTAGAAGGTAATGAGTCTTATAGTAACAATGATAGCGCTTGACTTTCTAGTCAGCCCAGTAGCTTATAAATGTAAAAAAGAGATTTCTTTACCCTAACCTATTATACAGTATTCTTATAAAATTGTTCATGAATTTAGTAGTTTTTTACTTGAGCTTAGTTTAAACAGTGGCATAAACAGCTACTAGGCTGATATGTAGGTATTTTTTGTTTGTCAAAATAGTTATTGGACCATACTTCTTTCTATTAGGGTGAAAACGATATTAGTTAGGCTTAAGAGTTATTGTATTTTCCTGAACTGACTTAACTGGTATAACTAAAGTAACTTGCAATTTTTATTAACCTCAATATAAATTCTCCTCAGATATATATATATACTAGTGGGTTAACTACTGGTACAAATGACATTCACCCTTTAGCTAATGTTTATAGAGCAGTAAGAAACAATGAACTCTTATTTCTTAAAGATTGCTAATTCCTTAATGTGTCACCTCGGATAACCCAGCGGCATAACTCCGTTTAATTAGGCTCAACTTAAATTTTATCAAGTAGAATACCGTTGCAACTATTAATCCTACTATCTTTTTTTCCAAAGTAGGTATTTACTTGAGAGATATCCAGGTCACTATAACAATATACATAGGATATGAAAAAGTTATATATATATATATGTATATATTTACAATAATAACCATCTCTTGCGGATCCAACTTAAAAGCTTTGGCTAATTTTTTCCTATCAATATCTAAGAAAGCCAAACTACTCGAGTGCGGTAGTTGACATTTTAATAATGTATCCTCCAGAAAATTTTTTTCTACATTTAAAATTGGTTACGTAGGCTCAAGTAGCAGACACCAAGAAAAATTCAAGGACGTGAGAATAAGGAGTTAATATTATGGCACCACAAACTTACTTATGTCTGTTTTAACTGGTAAGTGCTGGACGCAAGAAGTATACTTAGTCGAGAGTCTATTAGAGCAATACAGATCGTAAAAGTCAGATAAAGTGTCCAGCTTATGAAGAATTTCTTGTTTGAAGTCTGTAGTTTGCTAAAGCAAAAATATTCCTCTGAGTTATTACTAACAATAGAAATATAAGATGAAAACCCAAAGGCAAAGCTGTAATAGGCAAGTGATATAAGTTAACTGCTAAACATACCACGACCTCCTCTTCGAAATGATAAAAGCACCCCCATGTATTCATAATATTTTTCCCGAATAAACACAAAAGACCTGTTAGTAGTTATTCCTCTTCTGTTTAGGAGGAGAAGGCTACAATAAATTTATATAGTAACTTACCTTTTAGGCAAAAGCTATTATTTTTTTAATAAATCTGGCGGTTGTTTGAAAATCGTTATAACAACTAATTACAGTAGGCATTAGGAGAGGGGACCACCCAATTTCTTATGGACAACCAAAATTTAGTGAATATAATTCTGCGGACCAAGCCTTACCACCGTGGTCGAAGTAATTGGTTAATTAGTTAACCACGTGCGCCCATTAATTAGCATGTAATGGACATAAAGTGAGATTGCGCATCCCATGGAAGAAAATTATTTTTTTCTGCTCTGTTTTTTGCATGGATCGTGCTGTGGTATAGAGGGGCAAACCTAATCACCGTGTTATATGTATACTTTGTTTAATAAATTTATTTATACATTTATTCCTACCTTGAGTACAAATATATCTACGCTTTTATAGCCACTACCCGCGATAGTGCCATTGTAGGAATAACAAATTTTTTAATTCGCCCCTAAGGGAGTCTGTAAGACTCTTTTCAATAAATTAATAACTAATTTTTTCTTTGAAATGCTCGCCTCGCGTTATTACCGCAAAGTGACCTATAAGATGGGCCCTAGAGTGAACATACAGCATACTATTGTGAGGTATTTTCTGGCGGAATGCATGGAGCTGTCGTTGAGCTATTAGTTACTTTGATTCGATCCCCATGCTAGATCCACCCTGGGGAAGATTATTATTCGCATGACAACGAAAGATTACCTAATGTGCTGTTAGTAACCCTCTATGGGGAACACTGCTTCCTATGACCTGAGCTGAAACACTTGAGTAGACTTGAGGAATATCTTACTATCTTACTATCTTCCTTCAAAGGAATACTTACAAAAAAATAGATGAAAGTATATTAAGAATTAAAGTTAATGAAATATAAATATATTAGAATAGGTACAACTAAGTTAAATAAGAAAGTGTATAAAGTAAAATATATAAAATGCAAGATAAAAAAAATATTAAAGCAAGATAGCTTAATTGACCGGTTTTCGGTCTGTATATATATCTTTACAAAAGGACAATAATACTTCAATATTTGTATAATAAATTTAAGTAAATCTGATTAGTTATAAAACTTTATTTCGTTTTGTTTTAATCTAATTAATAAAGTGTGACAAATAATTTTGTATGCGGTAGAAAATTTAATGTCTCTTTTCTTGTGTTTGTATTGACTGCCTCTCATGTATTTAATTATTTTATTCACAGATCATTTTTACCTGTTAAAATTTAGGGGATGTTTTAATATTTGTGTTTAACGGTCATTGTATTTTATACTTAATATATTATATTTTTACTTTTGTTCTGTATTTTGTGTTTATGTTCTATCTTTCTTTTTTTTTTTTTCCTTTTTGTTTTCAACTTTGTCATGTTTTTTTATACTGTACTATTATGTTATAAATTCATGTTATAGTAATGTTGATTTGTAAATTTTTTCGAGTAGGATTTTTTGTTTTTGTCTAAAAAATGATTTAGTGAAAATATCTGCCGGGCTATTCTTTGAGGTGACACGTATAAATTCATAGTTATCCTTTTGTAATTTCTGTATAACGTGATGGTACGATATTCCCACATCTTTCATTGGAAACGTCTCCTCTGCTAATGTTTTTCACTGCTTCGTTATTAATATAAGAAATTACTTTTTATTTTTTTTCGGGCAATAGTTCATTATTTAAGTTTCAATTGTTTGAGTATATATCGTTGCCTTGCTTAGCGCCATGTAACCAGCTTCGCAGGATGACTTTTTTATTTTACTTTTTCTACATTCGACTTCCAATGTTTAGGATTTTCGTTAAATATTAGAATTATGTTTACAATGGTGGAGCGAAAGTCGTAATTATCTGCCCATGAGGCATCGGTATAACATTCTATTCGTATATTCTTTTCGCTTTCATTAAGCTTAATGAATAGGTTGGTAATTTTGGTTTCGTAGAGATATCAAATCACTCGTTTTTCATCATTAGATTCGTTTCATTATTGTTATGAATAAATCTTCCAAGTAATTTGGTAGCATGTTCAACATCTGATCTTGTACAACCGCTGTTTCCAAGAGAGCAGCGTATTGTATCTGGTATTAGTTTCATTGTGTTCCTCAGAGGGTTGTAATTTTAATCGTGAAGAAAGTGGAAGTTTATGTCCTTTAATACTATTTCTATAAAATTTTCGGGCAACTTGTTCAATTTTCTTATTTTAGTTCCTCTATATCTCATTATCTGAATGTTGTATGTTAATAACTAATTTGTGTCTAGGTCGCCGTCTTCTCTGAGTTAAATTTTTTTCGTAGGTTTCATAAGAATGTGTGGTGTTCTCCAATTACTATGCAGTCATCAACGTGTATTCCAATAATCGTTTCGAAGTTTTCGGAATAAAAAATGCAATCGTCAATCATGCGTATGCATCCGTATTTGTTTAACCTTTGAGTTAAATCTTTGCAAAAGAGTCGAGTGGATCTTTAAGACCATATAAAGCAAGTGTAGTATCCATTTTCTACGTTTTCTATGAAGAAAGACAGTAGTAATAACTGCTTTTTTTTGGACAGGTAGCGTTTTGAGAATTGCTATGAACATCAGTAATCGAAAAGAGACTTTAATAGAAGAGGTAAGTCTCTTCATAATCTATACCATAGGTTATTCCTTTTTATGGTAGATATCCAGGCTGTCCAGGTTCTCGTTAAGATAGTTAACTGTTTTATTTTCATTATGAGATCTCTGTAGTTTTTGAGTGTTGGCTTGTCGTCAATGTGTTTTTCTATATTCTTACTTGATCATCTTGAAATGTTTTATGTTTTGTAAAGTATTTGTATCGTCAAGCTTTGACTTGAAACAGTTTCATGTGGTGTATTACGTACAGTAATGTCGTTTGGGATTCCGTTTTTCATTAAAGGTATAATTATATTATTTTGCATGTTTTTCATCTTCTTTTTGTTGCATTGAGGAGACGTAACTATGTATTAAATGGTTTGTATCTCTTATTGGCTCATTTATTGTGATAGATTTTTTTGTTGAAAAATAATTGTAATCTTTCTGTATCAGATATATCGTGGGTAGTGCTTTTTCAAGTATGTTATGGTTTTAGAAAAACATGTTTGCAAAGAAGGTTAAGTCCCTTGATCTTAGTATATGGTTTGTAAGTCTGCTTAGAACTATGTATTCCTCGTCGGTAGAGCCTATGGGTTTTGAAATTAATATATCGTATAATTCTCTGACAACCGATTTTCTTTAGTATTTATTACTGTGTAAAATGACCTTGCAACCAAGTGGTTTATAAGACCTGAAACCTCTGAATTTCAAGCTATAAAATTCATTTGGTGTGGTTTTTTCTTTACCTATTAGGAGATTATTTTTTATAAATATGGCGTCCCGATTGCTTCACTCCAAGATTTAGGTGGTAGTTTAGATTGTTTCAGTATGCAGCGAGTTAGATTGCTAAGAGTTTGGATGCTTCTTTCACTTAGATGTACTGAGGTTGTAGCTTTGGACACTGTGCTAAGTAGTAAGCCTTTGCTACTGATTCTATTTTTTACTTCTTCGTGTAGGAATTCACTGCCTTTACCTGATCTAATTTCTTCAATTAGTGCGGTTTGTGTAGTTTAATGGTAATAGTAAAATAATAATACAGTAAATAATAATTATGACGTTAATAGCAATCATATTATAATAATATCAGGTATATATATAATTTTGGTTTAATTGTTTCAAGGTCAGTAAAACTTTATTATACTGACTGAAAAAAAAAAATTTTAAAAAAAAAAGGTTCTTACAAAGACTATTTGTATTATGGGAGTCTTTCCTTAAACATGACCTCAGCTCTTTTGTGAAGCGCTTAGAAAACTAGGGAGTTTTAGCCATCGTATGTATCTCATTTTAAAGCCTACACTAACAATAAGAGAAGAGCTTATATTAAATGAATAAATTGATGAAACTCCGAAGGTTTATACCTTTTTAAGAAAAATTGGAGTTGTCAAAATAAATTAGAGATGACCTTCTTTTAAGTAGTAAGTCATCCTATGCACTATGTGGCACTAAGCAGGCTGCAGGCATTGCCCCTTCAGTTGGACTAATGGGGAGTAACTGGGATTACGGTTGGTCTACAAATGAAGAGTAGCATTATATCATCATTCTTAACTGCTCAGTTTGAAAATCCATTGGTTCATTTGGTAGAATATTATATTAAATATTTAAAAAACTTATCAGAAAGAAGAAAATCACTTTGACCGGAAAAACTACTTCTCTTTGTTCAAAAATTGTCCCAACTTACAAAATACAATACTAGAACTTAAAGCTTTTTATGAAATTAGCTTTTGAGGCACTATTAAGCAATTTTTAAAAAAAGATCAGTATGGGATTTTGAAAATATTACATAAATATTTTAGCCATAAAGATACATTTTATTTGCTAGATTAAAAGTTCAAATAGGCAATTATTAGGTCCTAAATTTTATTTTGCTTGTTTTTTTTCAAGTTTACCACACATTCCTCTAAATTGTTGTTTAATATTAGTATAAGAGTAAGGTGACTTACAATTTCTGAGTACAGTTATGATTACTTCTCAATACTTCGCTCTTAATAAAGCCTTAACTAAAAATTTTAAGTTTAGTTAAAAGGAGCATACCAAATGTAGGTTCAAAATAAAATTTGTGTTTTAAAAAAAGGCAGATGAACTATGCACTTTATAATGTAATAACAGTCTTATTCTTTCGGAATATTTTGGTACATTATCAAAATTTGTCGGTAGCTAATTTTTTACATTTGAGTTAAACGTTAAAATTTACATTTGGATATTGTAGTAGTTAATGGCTCTGTAAATACTTAAAAACGTTTTATTATTATAATTTAAGCTATATGCACTTGTTATATTTGAGGCAAATCTTAACTTGTTAATAATTTAATTTTTTTGAGTTTACAAAACTTAATAAAGCTTTAAGGCTTGTAGTTTTTTTATAGACTAGAGGATGTTAAGATTATTATATGACTTTCAAATCTCTGTCAACATAATGTGCTCACTTGCAACTTAACACAACTTCTGCCTAAGATAAGGTAACTAGAGCTTAGCAGACTTTGGTAAATAATTTTCTATTCCCTTGAGTTGACCTCCACTCTTGTCGGGGTAGAAAATTTAGCTGGGGTGAGGCCTACGCCCTAATAAGTCAAAGTTACAGTAAAATTTGTTTCTTTTGTGTGACATTCTTGGTACTATGTCTTGTGAGGTCGACACTTCTTTGGAGATACTTTTTAAAAAGTTTCGCGTTAGAAAATCTCGGTTACCAGCGGTAATCATAGGTAATAAACTTAGTTGCAAATTTTTTTTTTCTTTAATTTTTTTAATTAAAGCCAGGTGCGATTTGCTAACCAAAAAAATTGTCTTTGAAGAAGCATATGAAGAAAAATCTCTAAATGAAATTAAAGATTATCTACCCGAAAGGGAGCCCAGGTTATAATATATAAGTTTAGAAAAAAAACATATAAAATTTTTTTATTAATCAACACTATTATTAGTAGCAAAAAAGAAAACTTTATAAATATATAGTTTTTTCTTATAAAATAACAAAAGGTTTCTGGCCTACACTTTTTTGTTTAAACACGAAGATGGAAGGATTTCACAACCTCTGGTTTTTATTTATGTGTCCCCGTTTGGTGGGTGCAAAAGGAATTTAATTTATAGCTCTTTCTTTACTCTTTTCTTCTTTAGGCTGTAAGCCAGAACTGCAAACATTGTACTCCACCTCAGTGCGTCCCTGTTTAGAAAGCTTAAAGTTGGCAAAGGTCCTATTTTAATTTCCATTACTTTTATCAGTTACTTTAGTAGTGAACAAGTTTATATTAGTGTTTTACCGTCAGAGAAATCGAGGAGATTTCTGACGACTGGTTAATGGGTGAGTTATAAAAACTGAAGATACTTGTTAAACTTTACACACTCTTCTAAGCACCTAAAATCTTTTTATTATGATTAATAATGATTTATAGGGATGTTTAGTAAGTTTTAGCGCAGAGTGCTTCGTTTGCTAATAATTTAGTTTATTAGGCCTAGTCCGTTTTTAGTTTTTACGAGTAATATCGTCAACTTACCCGCACGTATGTATAAGTGTGTGTGTAGGAGACTGCAAACTATAAGTGTGCGTCTAAAGCGCTTTGCGAGGCCGTCGGTTAGCGTGCGCCTACCCAGGGTTCGTTTGCAAGTTCTTAAGTCCACTGATGGTTATAGTCCTTCTAACACATGCAAAAGAAACAGTAGTGGCATTCCGGAAAAGACTACAAGTCGCTCCAGCCTTAGATGCCATGCAACGTCTCTGCGCAAAAAATATGGTGCACCGGTCATATGCCGCAGAAGTGTAAATTTTGATGGTTTTTTGTATTTCCAGTAAACAGATGCGTAGGCCGCAATAGAGCACAGTTTATTGCGCAAGTACATTAAGCTTTTTTGCAGACTGCAGCGAGTAGTGTGCGTGAATCACCGCTTTTACCTTTATCGCAATAAATTCTTGTGTTGTCACCAAGTTATTTGCTTAATTCTAACGGCGCCCAAGTATTCAGGCTGAGATCCTTACTTAACCTTGCCATCTTAGGGAGGGGTTAAAGCCCAATTCAAAATTGCTCTGCTTCTCTCTGCATGAATGTCAACCTCCCACTACCGGCACCAATTGGCTAGTGTTTTCAAGTAGTATTGCAGGTGTTGGCATAATAAAGAGGTTGCCCCGCGTATAGAGCGAAGAGCCTCGTGGGACTTCAGTGCCATTCGATAGTGTGGCGACAATGAAGTCCCATTCCTCACACGGAAGGTACATCCGTTTTAAAGTGATGTCAGAATCTTTTTAATGACCGACGAAGTACCCAGTGTGCGTAGTTGCGTAGGAGGCCCTCGTGCTGTACGTGATCAAAGGCTACGCCCGTGGCTATCTTAAAAGTGAAGTTCATTTTCTAATGCACAAAGTAGGATGAGTCGTCGAGTTCATCTTCGAAACTCTTTAGGGATTCTGGAAGTGCTTGGTGTGTTTTTACGGATTTTTCTGGTCGGCATAGTAAAAAAGCCTCCGCAGTTTTACCCAACGTTGAAATAGGGCTAATGGGACGTTATTTCCTTGGGTTTAGTGGAGCACGCGATGAGGGTAGCACTACAACTTTGTCTATTTTTTTTCCATGGCGTCGGGAAGGAACCAAGCGACAATACAGAAGTTGCAAAACATCATGTATGGTTTCGTCAGTACTGCCGTTCCGAAAGTTCATAGGTTATAACAGCGACTTTAATAGCTGTGCTCGGTTTGAGAAGACCGTTGCCAACGGTTGAGGGGTCTTGCGGTGTCTTGCCTCGGTACCGAATGGTAGCGCAAGTTGGAGGAACGCAATGAGCTGTGAAATGATCGGAAAAGGGCGCTGCCTTGTCTTTGTCGCTTTCAGCCACTATCACGCCTTTATTAAGTAGTGTTGGAGGTGTGTGGCAGCGGTTTTAACTCGTTTAACACTGCTCCTAAAAGATTGTCTTGGTTCATGGAGCGCCGGAGACAATCCTGCAGTTTTCGCCTTTCCGCTACTATCATGAATTGCAACCAACTCTTTTCTATTAAATTCAAACTTCATATATTATATTAACTCAAATTTTGGGTTTACTTATTTTATATATTTTAGATAATCCACTAACTAATATATTTTAAAAATGGTCTGGAAAATTTTTTACTATAATTTTTAACTACGTAGTCCAAAAACTTGACCTTGCTAGGTTTAGCGCAAAAGCCTTTTTTTTTTAAGGCACAGATTCTATGGCCGGTCTTAAGAAACCTTACACCGCTTACCGGGAGGGGCAGTCTTAGGCACAAACCCGAGGCCACCTGGACACACCTGCCTGCGTCACTGCCAGACAGGTTGAGAACTCCTCACCCAGAAAGGAGAAGTCCTTCCGCGCACGCCTATATTTTTTCCCTTTAACTGAAAAAATTTTTTATTTTGACCACGAGCTCCTGTCTTCAAAGTACAGTCCGAGGGGCAAGGTGGAATACGGAGAAGAGACTCGGTGTGTTACATGCATAAGTGTAGACTCCATTTTCTATAAAAATTTTCGTTACCTTGAACGCAATACCTCAGCTAAATTAGCCACATGTTGACCGCACCTTTTTAAAAAATTTTAAAAGTTTACAGCAAATATTTAGTTGTAAGTATATCACAACACAGTTTACCAAAAGCACCTAAGACTAAGTTTAAAATACAAAATGCAAAAACACAAAACAAAAAAGAAACAGAAACCAATCGCGAAACTTAGAACAAAAATAAATATACAGTTTATTGAGTGGAAAATTTATTGACATTAAGCACGAACGCAAATCACAAGATATTAAAAACGTAAAATACCTAAGTTTTACAGGAAAGGTGTCTCTAATAAACCAATCAGTACATGAAAAACAGCCCATAAACAAGAAAAAGGAAATTATTTGACACGATTAATTAAATTCAAACAAAACAGAAAAATTTTGTAAAAACTAATCTGGTTCAATTAGATTTACTATACAAGTATAAAGGCATTTTTGACCTTTAGTGAAGATATAAAATACAAACCGGAAACCGGTCAATTAAACTATCTGCTTTAATATTTTTTTGTATCCTTTATTTTATATGTCTTTTAAATACTTCCTTACTCAACTTAATTGTACACATCCTAATATGCGAACATTTCATTATATCTTATATTTAATATACTTTCATTTTATATACACTTTACACCAATTTTGATAAAGTATGCTATGCCTCGCTTATACACACTCTTTTGCTACACAATGAAAGCAACTAATAACTAGTGAAATTGGTGGAACCTAAATATCGTTCCTTTTTAATTTAGTTAATGTAAATTTTTTCCAAAGAAGAATATTAGATATGTGGTTCTCGTGTGAATTTTTGAGCCAGCAAAGTTTATAATTTTGGGAAGAGGGGGCCGGTTGAAATAGGCAAATGACTAAAAGAAAAAGATATATATGCGTAGTATTCTCCATGACTAAAGCTGTTAGAAAGTAATAGAAACCTCCACTTTAGATATACTGGGCATTGCAATATTACAGGTTATCCCAATGCCAAATTCCATCACATTCTTCTGGAGCTTTTATCAGATCATGATTTCACAATAATTGAAATAAATGTTTGAGGCTCTCACCCCGGCAACGTACTTTAAAACTACATACTGGAAGATTTTTGGGAAAACTTAACGACCAAATCATCGGCTTGATATCTAGAAAACTTGCAATTGAAGACGCCGCCTCACACCTTCGTTCTGTTGACATGACAAAACCTCAATAATTAAATTTGAGAACGTTTTTAGTCTCACTCGCCATTGACTTAAAAAAATGATTAAAAAGAGGCAACATTTAGAAAAAAAAGTTAATGCGAGTCTAAATCCTGCCTATGGAAGCGCTGTAAACAAACAGAAAGAAAAGAAATAAAAAAGGGTGGAATTAAACAACTCATTAACTTCCTCTAATAAACCTATATGGAAGATGACCAATTTTTTTTTTTAACTGGTAAAAAAAAAAATTAACCTATGTACTCCCTATTTACAACAATAAAAAGATTACTTACTCCGGAGATGAAAAAGCTTCTATGTTTGCTGAACATTTACTTTTGCAATCCTTTTTTTTACGTAATCTATAATATTCGGGAGGCCCTGAATATTAGGTTCCAGCGGAAAAAAAAAATTCCTGCGGGGGAGCTACTAGTTTTTTACGCAGCCTTTTCATTATATATTATTATTATATTTATCATAGTTGTTAATATTATTATTTTTAAATAAAATTATTGTTATATTTATTTCTCTTATTTATATATTTCTGTTTATTATATATTATTAATATACTTCTTATAGTTGTTAATATTATTATTTATAAATATTATTATTATTTTTTTATTTATTTTATTTATGTTAATTCTTTATATTATACACATTTTTTTTATATTTATTCTTGTTATTTCTATTATCATTTATTATTATTATCAGTTTCTTCTCTTTCGCGTATCATCCGGGGATATTCTCCTGGTGCTAGCAATTAGCTCTGTTTTCTGAGTTTATGATCTAATCCTTTTCCTATACAAAGTTTATCTGGTCGCCATAAGTGATGGAGATATAATGTTTAGAATAGAAGCGTTTTAGTTAGTAACGGGAAAACACGATCGTGACGTAGTGTGCATGAATAAGAAAAATTAAGCGGCAATCAACGAGGGCGAAATTAGTTAATATTTTGGTCCTTGAGCTTTTAACATTGCTGGTCATGTAGAATACGTAGGAATTTGTATAGACACTAGACTTATAAGAAAAAAATTTTGTTCTACAAAACTCTTGCATAGAATTTTTTTTTTTTTGGAGTTATAAAACTTAAACATCTAACACAAAAGGACCACCTTATCACTAAACTATTCAATTGATTTTACTCAACTCTAGTTTCCGGATGAAATGGAAAATCGCTGACGTAGTTTTCTTCAAAATACGTAAACCTAGTAATTTCGTCTAAAGCTACCGCCCAATAGGTCTAACCGCGTGCCTAGGGGAAGTACTGGAAGCAGTAACACTAAAAAGACTGGAAAATTTTTGTTGAGGATTGTCAATTTGGATTTAGGAATATTTGTCGGAGAAAGAGAGGAGGAGCAATCAATTTATTGCCCCGTAAAGGGGGGGTATTTATATTGTTAGTTAAGAAGTAAAAAATGTACAGAATAAGTGGTATGGGCGTGTATAAAAAATGTTTTACGTGCCACGCAGTTTGAGCAGGTGATCTATCAGAATGGGCTCCCACAATAATCATACAACAGCTTAACAGGTTTTGATTTTCGGAACGTCTCAAAAGCTTTAAATGCAAGAAAGTCAACAGCAGCAGTATCCTCAGGTGTCGAGAAAACACTTAATAGGTATGGCACAACGGTATTATATTTAAAATCATTAAATGTGGTTTTTCTGAAAGCCTCACACTCATAATTAAATCCTTTCTTCATAAAAGAACTTTTTCTAAAATTAATTCAGAGAAATTTACCAATGAAAACTAAAATTGGAGTTCCTTAATTCTTTTTATTCACCACTCCTTTTTGGTCCAATTTTATGATACCCCCCACTTCTACTACGGTCTTTACGGCTCATATGCGGATGACACTGCAATATACGGCAGTTCAAAATCAGCTCCCTTAGCACTATAACACCTTCAACAACTTCTTAAAAATGATTTAACACAAGACAAATTACATTTAAAGCTGCAAATAGTAACGCCCTTTTATACACGAGAAGAAAGTAAGAAGGCCTCTTACCAATCTTACCACGTTACAAACTAAAATCTTCTGAAGCGATCACTTCAGATAACTCGGCGCAATAGTCGACTCCAAACTAAAGTGGCATGCCCACACTTCCTAAGTTGTTAATAACACGAAGGCTTTAAGAAAAGCTCTTTACCCCTTTTGTGCAAAAAAAGTATACTTAGCCAAAAACAAACTGATACTTTACCAACTTCTGGTTGGGTCGGTACTTAATTACGCGTCAGCGTGAGCCTCTTCGGACGTCATTACTAATAGGCTACATATTTTACAAAACAACTTTCTCCATAGTTAAATCGGAGCGCCATGGTTTTTTCGCAACTGCAATTTATACCGAGACTGTAAAACTGAGCTTTTCGAAGAATCCCATCTTGAAGAAGCAAACAGATAGTTGTTAGAGTTTAACGCGCACGCTAACCAACTTTTGTCCCAAGCTCTAGCTTACGATTCCTAACCACCACAAAAAACACACGTAAACCCTATAATACTAATATTTACAATGACATTTAAAACACTAAATATGCTTATCGCAATAATTAAATTAATATCAATAACATTTACATCAATAATTATAATAATAACTTAATAACATAATAATGAGCGAATAATAACTTTTACAGCATTCAAAATGACCTTTAATATTTAATTAAAGTGCGCGGGCTCTTACCCACCAACCGCCCATGCGGGGAAAATAGGGATTAAGCAGTCCTAGACCCCTAGGGTCTCCACTGTGACATGTTACCTCAATAAATAAATAAATGAAAAATAGATTGCAGGATACGAAAAAAACTTTAAACTCCATTTATTAAAGTTAAATATGTATCGTTTGGTAGCAAATAATATAATATTTTTCAGTGTTAACTCTAGCTCCCCTTGCCATGAATCTAGCATGCGCCTTATCATCATTTTTGCAGGACGTTACTATGTTAAATGCGACCAATGCATGATATTTTATGATTTGCTTTTTTAACGCTTAAACAAATGTTTAAGGCTTCCAAACCTTGGGATGAGGGCTGACTCTGTTACCTACTCTATAATGGGGGCCTGTCGTACGTCTTCTCTTTAAGTTACCTTTGCTTCTGTCGAAATTAACCGCAACTCCAAAAGAGGACGTCCCCCCCTCAGTTTGGTGCAATTAATCCGTTATAGGGGTACACATTTGATACTCGCCCTTAATCTTATGACGAGTAAGTTGTTGAGGACCCTTTAGTTCACTAAACTAGGGTAGCTCAGAGGACCAAAGGTCGGTTCAATCTCTTTCTCTGGAACCCTTTAGATTCCAGAAATCCTCGGATTTGATCCCCCAGGCGAGCTCAGAGGTTCAGGAGCCTATCTCTTTCCTAGTACTCTACTGAACCTGAAAAACTCCATGAACTTGTCTGCCTCGGGGAATCGAACTTGTGCCCTCACAAAGCATTGAACTCTTAATCAGTCGAACTTAACCAGGAACCAGGGGAATAGGTTTGTTGAATTGCTTTGCTCTTTCCCCCTCTCCACTCACCTAAAAACAGCTTAACGCGATGTGACCCCTGTTATCTGGAATCATGAGGTTCTCCGAAGATAATAAGCGTCCAAAAAAAGTTAAAATATATGAAGAAACAGAGAGTAAACTGATTAATTTTGGCAAAAATAGTTAACAGAGCTAAGTACTCAGAGCAAGAGTGGAGCTAATGCACTATATGTTTAAGCTGTGCACAGGCGGAAATAGAACTTAAGAAAATACCGTAAAATAGAAACAGAGCTTAGAAATTGAAGTAGAAACAAAAATAACTTAAAGAGAAAACATGCAATAGGCACCCATTACAGAGAAGGTAACGAACCGGCTCCCTCAGCCCAAGGTTGGAAGCCTTAAATATTTGTTTTAAGGGTTAAAAACGCAAATCACAAAATATAATGCATTGGTCGCATTTAACATAATGTTCAGCGAAAATGATGATAGGGGCGCATGCTAGTTTCATAGAAACACCACGTCAATCATTGATAATATTAATGCATGATCAACTAAACATTTTAATTGACTAAGCGGCACGGGAAAGCCTTTTTTTTAAGTGAGGCTCCAGTGGACAAAAGTACAACTAAAAATAATTTTAGACAGTTTTAAAAAATTAAATGAGCGCCATTTCGATTAATAAAGTGACCATTGAGGTCCAGCGCTCTTGCGCTGAAGGGGATTAGGCGTTAGAATACCTACTACGCCAAAAACTGGTTGCCCATCTTGAACTTTATATATTTTTTAACTCCTTTCAAAATTAGCCCTATATATCAAAGCAATTGATAATCTACTTTATGATCCTTGCAGCCCTATAGACTGGGATCTTAAAAACTACAAACAGATAACAAGCACTCTGCAAAACCGATCTTGTCTATTAGTAATGCAGATATCCAAAATAATCTTGTTCAAGAACAATCTTGCTTTTCTTAATCTGGCAGGGATTGTGTTGCCCAATATAATAATGACTTGAAAAGATTTTTAATTCTGCGTAGGGATAAGTGTTACACTTAAGGGGGCAGAAAATCATTTATAAGGTATCAAGTCCTAACATTGGCAAGCGTTCTCAAATTTGTTATCAGTGCATGCAAGAAAATAATTCAAAGTTGGTTAACTTCCTTTTAATGTTTACATACTTACAGACAAAATTTAAACTAATTTTAAAGTTCTGCCAGAACTTTATCGCTATTTTGACAAACGCAGAACTTTTAGCCACTATTTGATCATAGGCTTTAGAGCTTTCTTTAAGCTAGGTTCAATAAAATATTAATAACAAAGGTTAGGCTTTAAAGATAACATAAAAACTATATATTGTAGCCTCTTTGCGTTAGATGCTTATGGAGTCGCAAAAACGCCTATCTTCAAACTTAAAACAACAAAATTATTTGCAGTTTATGTAAAAGCGAATGAACCTTAGTGAACAATGTATTAATTACAAAATGCCATATATACCTTTACAAAGACCAAAAATATTTACCATTTTTGTATATAATTTTTTTTTAGTTAATTGCCACAAATATTCTTTGTTATTGTATCTTTTGTGGTGGTGACTCTTACATGTGGTATAAATTAAACAATTAAATATATAACAAAGATTTTAAAAGCAGTGGGAGAGCGGCTCGTACCCTCACCTCAGAAAGCAAATTCAGAAAGCTGGTCGTGACTTTTAACAGGCCTTTAAACACACAATTTTCTTAGACACGTGGTCTCCTTGGTAGCGGTATGCTTAGTTGGAAATCGAACCCATTCTAGCTAGACACTTTTTAAAATAGGAATTAAATTGTTTTTTTTTAAATCGGTATTTTCATACCAATAAATATAGTGATACAAAATAATTATTTTTTAATTGGTCAAATATTATTTTGGTTCAATTTAACCTAATTTTTTTTTGACACGAAATACATCCTGATTTGTTAAAATACTAGTTTTTACTTACCACTTTTTAAATATTTTAAGAACTTTCATCCTACACTTTACCACAATAATTGTGTTCTTTATATGTGCGGTGTTAATGTTTAAGCTTGTATTATCGTAGTATTACCTTTCACTTTTTCCCAAACTGTATAGATTGTAGTATACTAGAGACTTCTTCTCAACTTTGTAAAATTCAAATAATATTTGTCGTACTTTACGTGTTATTTTGTACACCGACTGCAATCAGATACGAATTGGGATATTTATATCCCAGACTGCTATGTCTATATATAACCTAACAATAGCTAGGGACGTTATTCAATATGACTATTTCAGGGGGTATACTACTTGAGGTGAATGGAGTCTGAACATATTATTAAAATTAAGATTGACCAAATTTTTATTAGTTGTGTACTTCCAAGTTTGGAAAGACATTAAAGTATACAAGAACAAAGATTTTAGAGGGACGAAGGTTAATGCGCAACTCAAGTCATAATCAGTGGGTTTTGAGTCCCAGTCTAGGGTTAACCTCTCAATTTCTCTAAGCCATTAAGCTACACGATAACTTTCAATCCCGATTATATCGACTGAATCTGTTGGTATAAAAATTCTGCGCCGTTCTTAAATGTTATTGTGAGGGCCCAAGTCTGAATGCTAGTTTTTTAACGGCTAATTTGTGTTCTTCATCTTTCTAAGAAGTTCAAAACCTAGGTTTACAATATATAATTTAACTGGTAAAAATCTTAAATTTAAAGTTTAAAAATCCTAAATTGGTGGGTAAATTAAAACCATGAAAAAGCGGTACTTACAAGGCTGTTTTAAAGTTTGGCGCCGACTTTTCTGCGGAGATAAAAGTTATTATAAACTTTAAAGTGAAAAAATATAATAAAAAAATTTTACTTGCGATATTTTAAATTGCTTTAAAACGCATTAATACATTTGAGCAAAAGATGATGGTAATTTACGCAGTGAGGTCAGTGTCAAAAAAGTAGTAAAAACACCGTTTGGCTATTGTTCATAAATCATATCCTTGTCAGTCACAAAATTTAACTATTTTGAGCTGCTTACTTTACGAGAGGTTATTAGTGTTGTGTTTAGTTATATAAATAAAAATTCGGTGGCAATATCATCATCTAGGATGTGAAGCTAAAATTTTTGTTACATTATCTTAATATATTAGTTAAATTTTTGGAGCCTATATAATTTTAATTCACCGCCTTCTTTAAAATTATTTTGTTTAGAGACTACTGCCCCAACAAAAACAAATGAATATATTGTGGGATGCTTATAAAAGTATATCCGGAAAAGTTAATACAAACGTCAGTGAGCGACCAGAGGATCTCTCTAAGTAATAAATTATTAGGAAGAGATAAATATCACCTTAAACTTAAAATATAAGTAAGCGTCACAGGACTCTAAGCGAGGATGAAATTGCTTTATTATGTGATAGGTTATTATACTGGATTTATTTATAAATTCAATTTATTATGAATAATTATTACTATGCTAAAAGAAAGTTCTCTGCTGAACGTCTATCTACGATTGTTTTGGCTAAGTATGGTCTTTTTTCTTTAGATTGCTGACGTCAACGTTACCTGACGATCGAAAACAAGCCTTACAGACCTTAGCTTTCATAGCGCCGTACCAACCCTACGAGGTTTAAACCCGCATTCACTAAACCTTCAACCTTCAAAGCAATGCAAATTCTAGCATACTTTTTTATAGGTAGGAAGCTTTGGTTTTAAGGGTTTTATCGCGCTATTACAAACGGAATACGAGGATGAAGCTATTTGTTTGTGTGTCTTACAAGCATTGTCTGAGATCTTTTCCCCTTTCAAGCTTTCAGATCCTAGACCCAACGACCTTCCTACACCACAGAAATATACTGTTTCTTCAGACAAATTATCTTTACTTCATTCCCAGTTTTTAGAAACAGGAAGCTCTATAGAGGCGCTTCTAAGCCTTGTGGAGAGCAACAACTCAAATATTCGGTTTTACTGCGTACAGGTGACTCTCTATCTTCTTAACTCTCTTCTTTTTATCAAGTCATCCTCTTTTCCAGGTCGTCCGTAGCTTACTTGAGATCGCTAAGGAGAGTACACAGGAGTCTATATTGTCAATACCACGTGGTCTGCTATTTTCTAAAACTTATTTTTACTTATGCATATTACGTATTATTACTGAAATTCTGAAAGTTTAAAATCTTTTGCTGGACGCAGGAATGCAGCGGATTATTGATCTCTTAGGCGACACTCAAGACCACGTGTTGAGTGAATCTCTATGTCTGCTTGAGTTGCTGACATCCGCTAACTCCACCGTCCAAAAGCTGGCCGTTTACGAGAATATATTCGACCAACTTTTTTCTATTATGGTGAGGGAAGGTTGGGTTTTCCCTTCTTTTCGCTTTCCAGAGTTTAGCGCTGTGCGCAGGATATTGTGGTGGAGGAACGCTGGTTAGTACGTGTCTGAGGATTCTTTCTACACTGCTTTCTGGAAGCAGCAGTAATCAATCTTCCTTCCGAGAGAGTGCATCGTTTTCCCAGATAAGGTCCTCTGAAAAACCCTTCGTAGATTTTAATAAGGTGCCTAGTATTGCTCGCTTTTGAACAGTGTGTTTATATCAGTCGCCCTAAATAAGAAAGATTCTAGTCCTCCCGCCCCCCACGGTTAGAATTTGTCCCCTCTAAACTTGCCATAACATATGTTATGGTGCTAGGGATCCAGTGGGAATGGGATTTCGTTACTACAAGCAACTTTATGCTTCTGCTAGACATTCTCCGTGAGCTGGTATCTATCTCTAATCCTGAACGTGAAAGTAACCAAATGGCACTGTGTCGAGCCCAGGTGGTCTTCGTATAATTTCTTCCTACTTGAAAAAAAGACCATTTTATCGCGCACCCAAGCAGGCAACGGAGGCCGTACTGACGCTGACCCTTCAAGACTGGGCCCTTCCCCACGAGATAAAAGTACATCTTCGTGCTTGTGCAGGGGAACTATTGAAGGGCAACCCCTCAGTTGGTGAGCTGGCCTCTAAATTCGCAGCCCAAAATACTTCTTCTGACGGCGCCAAGTCTCGCTACCGCCCCGCTGTTGTCAGCTGGATAGCCAATCTTCTAGACAACCGGCATCATCCCGTATACCGGTTTCACTTCTTCCTTCCCTCTTTATTAAGTTGTCTATGCCAATGTGTATGGAACTTTAGCTGCGCGACGCTATACTGTCTAGGTTGCTACCTTTACAGAAACGCGCAAGCGCAGCAGGTCACCGTGTCCAAGCTGTCGCAGCCACAGGGGACAGCCCATCCGTTCATAGATAACCTCCTCGCTGCAGGTGCCTTATTACTCGGTGCACTCATGGATACGTCTGACGGCATTAGTAATTGGTTGGCCTCTTTGCTTGGTACCTGTCTTTCACTTTTGACTGTTTCAACATGGTCACTTTCTCGGCTAAGTATCGCGCATGATCTGCGATGACGCTAAAGCCAAAAGCATATTCATGACCGTCAAAGTTGTTGATAAGGACAACTCTGATAAAACTGTTCCTTTACACCTAAAACTTTTGCGGGCCGGATTCGAATGCGAGGGAGTCCACTGCCAGAGAGTTCGGTCAGTAACTCAAGTCAATGACTAGCCAACGACCCTTAATTAAGTTAAGGGCACCAGTAGGTGTGGTCAGTTTGCCATTGCTCTGACCGCCTCTATTTCCTGTCCGGAATATATAGAAAGCTTTCTTTCAGAGACCCAAAATTTAGCATTTCTGGTGCAGCAGAGCCAGCGCACTGTCTCATATCTTCAAGCGCAGGACATAATCCTCGTTGGATTATCTTCATTGCTTTTAGGTACTACAAGGTCTTTCCTTCTAGAAGAGCTCTTAACCCACTTTCTTTAGGCGTTTGCATGTACTATAGCTTTCCGGGCGACCACAAATCTGCCCTTGCTCACGTCCTTCACTACACGATTGGGATGGACCGTTTTTCCACTAACATCGACACGATGATAAATGACCCATTTTTTTGCAGCGCCCTAAAGCGTGAACAGAAAAGTCTTCCTTTGGAAATGGTTTTAAATTTTTCCAGTTTCGCCCTTTTCTTTACCTGCGCGGCTATATGAGTAGGTGTGGGTCGATCAACACTTTGCGGAATTGTGCCTTGCTGAGAGGGACACACTAATGAGGTTTTCCTTAATGCTACATAGAGATTTCTAGCGTAAAGAGTACCGGCAGTGTGATGACCATGCCCCTCGAGGAGATAATCGCCAATCAACCCAGTGCTCACCTCACAGATAAGCAGACACCTAATACTTACCAAGAGAAAATAGAGAACCAAAAGAACGAAATTATACGATTAAGACATCAATTGGAGGATCTATCAAAGCACAAAGAGAAATCTAGAGAGGGTAAATCCTTAACTCTCCCGCTTAACCAAAAGTCACTCAACCACGTTAACTAGTAAAAAGTGCTGAAGAGCAGAATAGCAGCTCGATGAACCTTCGCCTTAAGAGAGAATTACACTTAGAGCTGCAAAGACTTAAAAAAGAGATAGCCTACCTAAAAACGCCTGATGAAAATCTACTGACTATCAAGAGAGCTATTAAAGAAGTAAAAAGCAATATTGAAAAGTGCAAAGAAGAGCAAAAGTTGCTAGTGGTAAAGTTAATTATAACTTTTCTGTTCCGTCCTTGCTAAAAAAAACAGGCTAAGCTTATAGAACGAGATGAAGAAAAGATCATTTTAAAGAGAAAGCTTCTATCCTTCGGGGATACGATGTACAACGCGGAAGAGTTCACTAGGGAAGAGGACGCACATATCTGAACGTCCAAGCCTACTCTGTTGGGGCCCTAATAAAGTGTTTCATACGAAAGTAGCTTCGTCCAATCCGCTGTCAGGCTCCGATAGCCCTACCACCGCCAAGGGGCGAGCTGTAAGGCAGCATAGCAAAATCTGGTGAAGGGGGTGCCGACCTTCTCCATTGTCAAAATAGGTCTCGAGGTAGTCGTTGTCCTCTTCCTCCGCCATCCCGTCTTCTGACGGCGGTTCCTCGGAACCGCTTTCCCCTTTTAAATCTTCCTCTCCTCCCTCAACACCATCTACACTATCTTGTAGCCCTGTAGTTTTTATTCTTTTATATATGCAATAGATTTCAACGATGAGAGACGCTAAAAACCTGAGAGCTGAGACAAAATTTCCTTATTCTCAAGCCTTGCTTTCTTATTTTTTGATTCTGTGCCCTGAGCTTTCAGTTCACAGGGAAACCACCTAAATAAGCCTAAATAGCACTAATTATTCTGCAGAGACAGCAATACAAAAGTAAAATTCCCTGTTTTTTCGCAAAAGTTTTGCAGATTTTTATGGCAAAGCAGTTCTTTCATAAAACGGTCCGAATATTTTACTACTTTAAAATGGATACTGCAAAATGTAAATAAGTTGAAAAGAGAACAAAATATATACATAAAACTTAAGTAGAAGCAAGTAAACCTATTGTCGGTTTTGTTTGAATAATAAACTGACAGGTTTAAATTTTCACATATCTCACCGTACTTTAAAATCTCCAAAAAACCAAAAAAAAGGGGATAAAGCTAGCTGCGACCACAAAAAAAAGGGGCAAAAACCTTATGAAGATCGCTTTTACTACTTATGAGCGTTAAAGGTTTTTGAATTAAAGGGGGGAAGAGGGGTGGAGGCTCTTCCACAAGTAATTCATGGTCTTTTCCCAAAATTCTACCAGCGCGGAAGCGCCCGCGTCCTCTACCCTGAGTAAGCATTCAGTAACTCTGGTTAACCTAGACTAATGACCGCTTGACTGCAAGGAGGTGGCGCCACAGTCCCTTCCACCGGCTTTGCAGGTTACTTAAAAGCTCATCTCCAACGAGCACACTTCGCATGCCTTTCGATTATTTAACCCTTCCATATATGCTCACCCGGTCTAGACTTTCACTACATCAAAAAGTGGTAGGGCAGGAAATCGTTTAAGGTCTCGGGTCCAAGCACCACCTAGATCTTAGTTAATAGTATGCTTGAATTAACTAATATATGACACTTTTACAAAGCAATTAAAAGCCTTCATAGTGTCATTCGTTTAGGCAAAGTGATTTTGTAAAATTTTTTGGAAGAAAAAGAGTGCCACTTTTGGTCTGATAGCTCCACAATTCGTTAACTTAATTTAAATATAAGGGTAATTTTTTCCCTTAAAAATAATTAGTCAAAATGCTTAAAATTACTGTTTAAGTATTCAGCTTTATAAATCCTTTCCAACAGATTTCTAATGAATGCTTTACTTTTTTAAATATACCTTAATAGTAAAATTATCTTAACAAAAAAGTATTTGACGAGATGTAAATTAAATTAATAACTATATCATCGTAAAAACTTTTAGAATTACAATTAACCTTTTTAGCAAGTTGTAATAGCAGTAAACAAAAAATTTAGTTTAGGCATTTGTCGCTTATAATAAATGGGTTGGCTTCTTTTTTGTTTTTTTTTTTACTATTGAAATTTTTTTAAAACTATAAAAAAAAGTTATTTAAATTTACTAAAAATTTGTATCACAAACGAAATGGATTTAATGTAATTTTTTGGTTAAAACAATTTATAACCACTCATGGCCATCAAAACTTTGGTTTTGGTACCGTGGAAGTCGACTCAGAAATCTAACGGAAAACGCACTAAGAAAAAAATCATTTTTCGTTTTTTCACGCATATGACAAGATCGCACCGCAGAGGGTTATCTTAATCAGGAGTACTTACGATTAACCAACGAAAACAAACACAACAGTTTACCACTAATAACCTTCCCTGCTATAAACCAGTTTTGATCCTTTAAAATTAAAGTACATTAGTCGGTTTGATTTATGGTAGTCTTCTCTCTTAGAATATATTCGGGTAGGATGGTTTCACGTATACAACTTGTTATTCTTTAGAGGGTTTGTAGGGTTAACGGACAGTCTTTTAGTGACCAAAGAAAGAGTTAGGTAAATTAAAAGTCAAAGCAACATCATTAGAAAATATTCGTTATCGACCCAATTTTTTTAAATTTTAAGCTATTCCTTCATGTATGTATACCCTAAACTATTTAAATAAAAGATATTATAAAACCGATAAATATAAGAGCCTCAACGGAAGTAACATAAAGTCCAAGAGTAAAGAGCACTAAATAGCAGGATACTTGAAGTGCTAAGAAAAAAGATAATTTAAAAAAATGTAATGTAGTCAATTAGGAAATTATTTTTACTACTACTAATAGGTATACCCACAAAAGTATGTAAAACGGTTCACTTGTTCGCAAAATCTACCTTACAAGATTTTATAGTTTGAAGTATATATAAAAATATGTATCTGATAACATAGATTGTAAAATAAAGGTAGAGATAACATTTTATTAATTGAAATTATAAAAGGTACACAAGTGGACCCTAAAACGAAGGCATACAAAATTCTCATTCACCATCACAGTTCAACTTGATCTCAGACCAAAAATAAACAAAGCCTTCACCAATAGAGTATATAAAAGGTAAAAAAATTTATGGTTGCCCCACAAAAAAATACTTTTTAGTTTTATCAACAACTTTCTTAAAGTTCTGGTGTGAATTTACAGGTGACCTGCGACGGGCATCAAACAACGAATTTAAAGATTTCCTAAAGTCAAAGAGCCAGAACTTTTGTATTTCTTTTCTATTTTTTATGTAGTTTAACTAGGTTGCCAATAGGACCCATATCAAGAGCAATTTCTAAAAAAATTACAATAATTAACTTTATAACTTATGTCCTCATAAGCTCTATGCCGTGTTTTCACGTTTATCTTGTCTATCCACGGTAATGCTATTAACCCTTTCTATTAAGATATCGACAAAATCTAAAGGGGGTTGTCCACTTCCTGCAAGAGGCACGGGTACATTCGGGATATCTGAGTTAGATATCGGACTTTCAACATCAGTAGCTTTATCAGCACAAGATAATCCTTAAAAATAACTGAAGGTTGCTCCTCTGAGGCAATCTTGCTGGCCTTTGATCTCGGCTCAATCGCGCCACATAGGGCATAGCGTTGCCTTACCTCAGTGGTACGTTTCCTCAAGGCACCATCGAGTGTTTTCACCCCTTCCAAGCTACCGCTAGGTTGAGGTAATTCACTACGCATATTTGTTTCAGAAAAGTAAAGTATTTCGGCAAACTCTTGTTCCTTACCCCTCCTTAAGAAAGCCTGCATTCCATTTCTGTAAATCTGTAGATCAATCTTAACGCTCAAAGTATGCGTGGGTGGCATTACCATCAAGAGCCAAACCAAATTTATTCATATACGTTTTCCTGGTATCAATAAAAAAAATTCATTGGGATCAAAAACATTGATGCGATCCAATAATTTAGATTTTAGGCAACAATTAGCTTCTATCCTCCCGCTAGCATCTTTTAAATTGATAGTGGACCGGCCAAGAAAAAAGTTGTAGCTAAAATCATTGACAATAGATTGAAATTGAAATACATTAAATTTTCCTTTATGCTTGAGGAGACCGTCTATCAAGGGATCCATTTTCAAATCCCATTTAGCTTTAACTGTCCTTTTAGGTCTCACCTCAAGCATCTTGACTACTTTATATATTTTTTCTCTTCCTTCATAGATAGTAGCTCTTTTTGAGTGTACAACTGAATTAAACTTAATACCTTAAATTTTTATTTCCCAGAACAGTTTTATATAGGGCCGTATATGATATCTTTTTGAAAATGTGGCTTAACCATGTAAAAATTCTTCATCAGTAAGTTTTAAAATCGTCTACTAACGATTTCAGTCATACATCTAAAATAACTCTATCCATATTTATTTGAATTTATCTTCATTTTAAATCGTTTTTTAAAATATCACAGTAACATTAAAAACTTCGTCACCAGCTAAATCTCTTAAGTTGTATATTTTTTGGATATGGCCTACTTGCACACCCTCCCCGCCAAACAAAAGCACTTAAAGGGAAACCGTCCAGAATACCTTCTTTAAAGTTTCACTTACAAGCTGGAAAGTCCTTGCAAAGACTCCAAACATATACAAAATGTTTTTCTATCAAGGGTGGGTAGCCCAGTCTCTTTTGGGATTGTATCTTAAGCTCTTTACAAAATACTACAACTTCGCTGGCCGAATAAAGAGAGCCCGGAACTGTATATATTTTGGACATTCTTGAGAGATTGTTTTTTTTTTGGGTTGTAGTTAATAAGCAATAAAAGTTAAGTTACCAGTCAATCGATGATATTCTAAAGAGTAGATTTGTACCCTTTTTTAACTTTAATCTGTGTTACCTCTACCTTTTGGATTAGCCGTATGTCCTCCTCTCCGCTGACGGTAGGGTGTCCGAAATAAAGATTTGGTACTATATTAATTAAATTTAGTTCAGTGAAATAGAAAGATCAAATGTAGTTTGTTATGTTCATAAAAGTTTAATACCTACAATGACTCTAGATATTATAGTTTAATTAAATCGTAAAAGAAAGACATAAAACTCTTTTTTAGACCTTTCCTATTGGAAAGCTTATGGACCCTTGCTTTAATAAGAAACATATCAGTCCTTTTTAACACGAATTTATTTCTATCAACATTATGGTTTTTTAAGGTTTAGCTATATAAATATATGGAGCCACCAATAAAATTTTTTAAGTAATTTTTTAGGAGTACTTGTGTTTAAAATGGCCTTGTCGTTCTCAATTTAGCTTAAATCAATTATTAAACAAAATGTAACGTAGTCATTTTAAAATAAATAAATAAAAAGAAAACATTAGAGCCCTAGTTAAAAAAATGTCTGTGAGACTATCTATTAATTACCATAGCACAAGATTTATTCTCAGCTATAGTAGTAAGTATAAGCAAAGGATTACCATTCTTATATAAACTGCAACGCCCACTAGGAACCGTTAATTGTAGACGAGAGGTAAACCAGTAGGGCACCATAACAGAATGCAATAATGTTGCCCTAACAAGTAGTACCTTTACACAACGTACTCGCTTGAGATTAAGATCTGTCGGTGTACTGCGAAGTAAATCAGTAACAAAGTTGTACTTCTTCTTCTCCTTTAGGTTTCAATTTAGGCGCTATGGTTAAGTCATAGGAACTATGGAAGGCAAAGATTAAAACTACCAATACATGAATTTTATAATTTAGCCCTCTCTCTGATGGAGGCCCCACCCTCATTTACTATTTGCACACAACAGTAAAAAAAATGGATTACAGCGCTCTCGAAGTTTTTCTTCCAACGCTATCCCATAATCTGATTTTCAAATGGCTGTAGACTGCGAGGGTGCGTTACCTTTCGGAAGTACGCTATTGGACCTGTAGCCTTTTTTTCTATTTAAAACCTTATTCTTACTCTAGTCAGTCCATCCATCCGCCATTACAGTTTCCTGCTCCAGTAAAAAGCCATTTTCGCCAAAACTTAGGTTAATAATTTTTATTTCCATAATAGTTAACTTAGGAGAGTTATATATCTGCGAAAGAAAAGACTTAACTAGTAGTCTACTTGATAACCGATCTGCATCCAAATACGATTTAGGGTTTTTTTTATAAACATTTACTCATTAAAAACCGGTAACATAGAAAAAAAAAATACATAGCTTTAATAGTTTTTGCAAAACTCGTATTCTTTTTTTAGTTAATTTTTGCGTGAAATTTCTCTTCATTATGAAATCTAACATTCTATTGTTGACCCTAGATATCACATTTAATAACTTTTTATTAATTAAAAATAAAATTTATAAGCGTATTTTAAAATAACACAGATAGAAAACAATGGGATGGGGAGAGGGGGAGAGCATAGTGGATGTCCCGATTCTGGAG